CCGAAACACTTAGGCAGTTTCTCGTCTTACTGAAAAATCAATATAACCACCATGTCAAGATCCTCAGGACTGAAAATGGTTCCGAGTTTGTTAATGCCATAGTGCAAAATCTTCTCTTAGAACATGGCATTGTTCATCACCGAACATGTCCATACACACCCCAACAGAATGGGGTGGTTGAAAGAAAACATCAGCATATCTTGCAGGTGGCTAGATCACTGCTTTTCCAATCTGGTTTATCAAAAAGGTTTTGGGGTGAATCTATCCTAACGGCTACCTACCTTATCAATAGAAAACCCTCTAAACTGCTCCTTTGGAAGACTCCTTTTGACATTTTACACCATAAACCACCTAATCTTGATCATAATATGGCACCGAACAGAGATAAGTTTGATGCTAGGTCCATTAGAGGAGTCTTCGTAGGATATCCCAGTGGTCAGAAGGGATATAAAATTTATTGTATTGACCAACAAAAGATCATCATATCAAGACATGTTCAATTCCAGGAAATGATTTTTCCTTATAAAACCATGCTAGGTGATACTGCCGATCAACCTGTATTACCTTGTCCTGTCTATACAGATATTCATTATGAACCTTCTTCAACTACTGATTCTTTGCCAACCAATCCAAATGCCACTTTGATATCACCTTTATCGAATCACTCCCCTCCCACTTTCTCAGTCTCTCCATCACACTCCTCAGTTCATCCAGATGCCTCTATTTCACAGTTTTCTAATCCTTCTGTCACTCATTCCCCTCCTCCTGAACCCCGTAGGAGTGATAGAACTCGCCATCTCTCCACCTGGCTTCGAGATTTTGATCTCACTGATAGCGGTGTTCAATTACCACCTGTTTCAGCCCCTGTAGCCTCTAGTGAGTCTTGCTCTTTCTCTAATGCACATCTAGGGTTTCTAGCAAATTTGTCAACCATAAGAGAGCCGCAGACTTTTAATCAGGCTCGGCATCACTGTCATTGGATTACTACCATGAATGAGGAACTAGGCGCCTTGGAAAATAATGGTACTTGGTCTTTGACTTCCCTACTCCCTGGGAAACGAGCAATAGGTTGCAAGTGGGTGTATAAGATTAAATGTAAGTCTGATGGGACTGTCGACCGTTATAAGGCTCGGCTTGTTGCAAAGGGGCATAATCAAATCGAGGGAGAGGACTTTTTTGAAGTTTTCTCCCCAGTTGCGAAAACCGTCACAGTCCGGGTTTTGCTTGTTCTTGCTGTACATCGAGGTTGGAATGTTCATCAACTCGATGTCAATAATGCGTTCCTTCATGGGACTTTGGAGGAAGACGTGTACATGTTACCCCCTCCTGGGTACACTAAAGCACTACCAGGGCAAGTTTGCAAGCTCCACAAGTCTCTTTATGGCCTCAAGCAGGCTTCTCGGCAATGGAATCATGCTTTTACCTCTGTTCTTACCAGATATGGGTTTAAACAGTCGCATGTTGATCCCTGCCTGTTTATTTTCAATACTTCATCAGTGTTTGTTTTGTTATTAGTCTATGTTGATGATGTGTTGATTACAGGTTCAGATGAGACTGAAATTTAAAAAGTGAAGGCTGTAATAGACAATGCTTTCACTATAAAAGATTTATGGCATGCTAAGTACTTCTTAGGGATCGAAATTGCCCGAGGAGTTGCTGGCATGTACTTGAGTCAGCATAAGTATATACAGGACTTACTTACTGATGCAGGGATGTTGGATTCTCAGCCTGTTTCAACTCCATTTCCTAGTGATCTTCGTTTTCCGAAGAAGGATAAGTCACCCTTGCTGCCTGATTCGTCTCAATATCGGAGACTTGTTGGGAGATTGTTGTATCTTCGGTTTACTCGATCAGATTTGTCTTATGCTGTGCAGCAGTTATCACAGTTTGTTCATGCACCTCGTCAATCTCATTGGAATGCTGCTCACCATCTGCTCAAATACATTGCTGGCAGTAGAACTCAAGGACTTTTCTATTCTGCTTCTACCTCTCTTACGCCCAGTGCCTATTCTGATGCTGATTGGGGGTGCTGTGAGTTCACGCGACACTCTCTCACAGGCTACTGTGTGTTTCTAGGGGATTGTCTAGTCTCCTGGACTACTAAGAAGCAACCTACTATATCCTGCTCTTCAGCTGAAGCTGAGTATCGAGCAATGGCGTTCACTGTGAGGGAATTGCAATGGCTTAGTTATCTCTTAAATGATCTTCACGTTCCTGTGCTCTTGCCTATTTCTTTTTGGTGTGACAGCAAGGCAGCCATTTACATTGCAGGTAATCCCGTATTTCATGAGCGTACTAAGCACATAGAAATTGACTGTCATGTCGTCCGTGATTGTTATACTTCTGGTTTCATTGATCTTCATCACATCAGTTCTTCTCATCAACTTGCTGATTTGTTTACCAAATCACTAGCTTCCCCTGCTTTCCAGTTTCTCTTGGGCAAGATGAGCATGTGATCTTCTTCCCCTGCTCCTCTTGAGGGGGCGTGTTGAAGAATGATTTTGACATCCTAATTCCTGATCCAGCAATAGACAAGGATATACAATCATTATAGTGTTGTATGTCAGAGGTCTTCCTTGTAAATACGGATAGTTATAGGGTTAGCTTTTAAATGTTAGTTGGTCAGGATTAGTCAATGTATATATATATGTTGTTCAGAACGATTTATTCTATGCTGTTTTATTTTTACATCTCTTTAATAATATTGAAGTTTTCAGAATCATCAATTCTCTCGATTTGTTAACTGTTTCATCGGAAACCACCATAACCTCTGTTGTACTCCGGTGAATGATTCAAGGATTAATTTCAATTCCAGTTAATTAAAGAATCAAACTATTATTTTTCGATGTTCATCACAAGTCCAAGGATGATCAAAATTCAACAAGCCCATTAAATCGCGGTGAGGTTTTTGGAAAATTGATGTCAATTAGTGCCACGAATGTGGCCACCGAAAATCGAAGAGACAAGGGAGCATCAACAAATTTTGGTGGGACAAGGGACAAGAATTAGAAGGAAAATTAATAATGGTGGGATGGTTGAAAAGGGTTCAATGTGATTCTTTGATCTTTCTTTTAATGGAGTTATTGACTGTAATCATCTCCTTGCAATGAACATGAGAATGGGGTTGTTGGAATTAAAAATGGTTCTGGAACTTTTGGATTCGGGCAAAGGACAATATCAATGAAAAGGAACGAAGAGTAGTTAGAAAAGCCATTTGAGATCAATTAAGGTGAATCATTATTAAGAGTTTAGATTTCTGGAGATAGGATTGGCAAGTTGAGCTCATGAATGCAGGGGAATTTAGAGAAGATGACCAACGTGGCAAAGAGGAGAGAGGAAAGAAGAAAAAAAGAGCCTTTTTGACTGGATTACTAACAAGGGTAGAATGGGAAGCACATGTCTTTTTGCTCTGGTAGCTATTTTATGCCCTGCCAATATCACTGGCCTAAATTAAATGCGTTTTATTAAAAATTGATATGTTTTGAAAATGTATCCCAATTCTTTTTCATGTCTTTTTTTAAAACAAATATTAATTAGTTTTATCAAGTTTTAAACCTAAATTATCCTTAGTATTAATTTTTTAATTGGCTTGTTATTACTTAAGGATAACCATTATCACATAATTTAAATACTTAAATCATTTAGATTTAACCGGTTAATTACATTTTGAGATATCCTCCGAATTAATATTTTAAAAATTTAGCAGTTACTTACTATCACAAAATCTAAATATTTGAATGATTTTTTAAAATATTTACATAATCTAAGCGTTTGAATAATTTTCAAAAATATTTTGATATGAGATTTGAGATTTAGTATGTTATCTGAGATTAATGTGTTAGTTGTAAACAATTTTTTTTCTTAAATTTTTACGGCTGATTAAATTATTGAGACATGCTACAATTAACAATTTTGAGTTGCTAATTAAATTAGAAATTCTAACTAGTCTTTTTTAAGAAAAAAAAAAGATTATTTCTAACTAGTATTAGGAATGGCAATCAAGTTAATAATTGATCTTCAGCATGTATTGATTAAAAGTAGACCCCAAAAACAAAAACAAAAACAAAAAAAACCAAAAAAGAAAAAGCTCACATCTTTTATTGCCATTGGTCATAGGGTATTATTATTGCCAAAACATAAATTAGTATCCAAAACATATTATTATTTTTGTGACAAAAGTAACCCTCCTTAAAGTCAATGCTTACCCTCTTTCTCAATATTCCCACAATTTCTTCTTTTTTTCACCCCTTTCTCTCTCTTTCAAGTTCCAACCCTTTCTCTCTTTCAACGAACTATTTCTGATTTTTTTTTATTTTTTATTTTTTGGCAAACCATGAAATACTTCGCTCAATAAAAGTCAAGGTTTTTTTTTTTTTTGTTTACAGCATTATGAACTCTCAATTGAATATAACAAAAGTACATTTTCATTTATAAGAACACTACTTAATTCATAACTTTTAATTTCTATCTGCTGCTACTCTATCTCAAATCAGGGAAAATAAGTCAACATTTAGCCATCTTCCTGCACAAAATATTTTTGCATGTGCCATTTTAAATCTGTTTGAATAGTACATATTTTCTGAATTTTTTTCTTGATTTTATCGATGTAGGGTAGCTTTCAATTATGAATTCACAATAATATCGTACCAATTTAGGATGGAATAACCAGAAATTTTTAATAGAGAAGTGAATTCAAAGTATAAAATTGCTTATAGGAATAATAAAAACGAAAACTAAAACCAACAATTAAAATGATCATCCTAATAAAAAAAAGTTTCTTATAGGAGTGATAAAAACACAAGTAAATTTTTAAGTCGAAATATCAAAGTCTCTTAGTTCTTTACTTTTTGTGTTGAGTTGGTGTTAGATTTTGGAGAGAGATGGTGGAAAACACAAAAAATTGGTATTCAAAAATTTTATTTCATGGATTTGGTGAACATGCGGATTATTGGAAGATGGGAATTTTCCAAAAAAAAGAAGAAAAAGAAAAAAAATAAAAAGGCACGTAGAGGGAGAGAGAGAAGGTGAAAGGGGTGGGAAAAAACAAAAAAAGTTTAGGTTTGACTTGAATAGGGATTTTATCACAAAAATAACAATATATTTTGGATCGTAATTTTTGTTTTGGCAATAACAACACTCTTGTTCATAATCCTTCAATCCCTAAAAAATTGTCCTATTTAATTTTTCAATTATAGAACAATTTGTTCAAAGAACAAAAACCCAAATTGAATGATTATTTCGAGATGGTGAATATATCCAGTTTGATTTTAATGACTATAACGAAAACAGAAATAATCACCGATTAAGCAGTTCTGCTAGTAGTGATTGTGAATCGTCCCTTGGACATCTCCCTTTACGGAGGCAGTGGAGATAGCAATAGTAGTTCTTTTAGTGTAAGTATTACATTGTAACAATCACTTTTGTGACAATCTACCATATCAACAGTTCCAGTCCATCTGTCCCTAACAAAATTTTGTCATTAACAGACATATTTGTTTGATCGTATACAATAAACTATTTTGCTGTCTGAAGAAAGCTATTTCACAGAAGGGACATGACCAGCGACGATTCATTGAGGTCCCCTGACAAATTATGAATTCTATAAATCATTGCTAAGAACTTGATGGTGATGCCAATCCAAGAAGTCTGTGATTTACGTAAAAATATTGGAAACCACAGCCAATAGATTGAGCAAAAATGAATGAATGACCGCTTAACACTGTACACAAACGCTATCAGTAAATCACAAATGCAACTCCATAGTAGTAGCTCTATCTGAAAATCAAAGAAAACAATGTACAGTTTCAGCATAACAAAGAAAATACTCAAAGACAGCATACATAAAAGTTCATACATAACCTTAAGAAAAAGACTTCCCATTAAAATTGCCAAAAAATTAAAAATAAAAAAAAATTAATAAAAAATTAAGCCTAAAGCTCATGTACGGCCTGATATATGATGGAGAAATATTCTCATACCACTCTATCAAGGATCATATTGATTCCTTCAATTACCAGTCTATCAAGGATCATATTCTCATACCACTCTATCAAGGATCATATTGTTCCTCGTCGGTAATAATACCCAGTACATCTGTGCCTTAAGATTTAAAATTGATTGACAAGCAAAGAAACATAGCATAATTATTAATTGTTCATTGACCTATCCAACCAAAGATTTATATCATTAAAGAATTTAACTCCTTAAAACTATTAACGAACTTTGAGTGCAATCATTTCAACCAAAACCATAATACAAATGTAATGAGAAAGGAAAATTATGCAATGAAAAACAAAATAATTGTAATGTTAATGTGTTCATTCAAAATGGCAAGGAGAGGCCCCCTAGTGGCAGGCTTCCACGTAGCAAGGAAGAGCTAGAAAATGAAAAGAGGACAAACCAGTCTAGCTCCTCACACAACGATTGCTGCTAAAAGAGTGTGTATGATAGCCCAATAGATAATAACACCAAGCCGCAAAGTAGGCTGCCGCATCAATGTCCGGTCACAAGACATCCTGGAGGGAAATAGGAAGAAAATATATTAACCAGATCCTAATCATTAAGATAAATGTATTCATAACTCTTGCATGCATGAAACATGAAAGAATACCATAATCCATCAACGACATCAGATACTGGTCTAGTAAACCGGGGGACAAATGCTGATGTGGTGAGGGACTTGAAACCATGAGCTGCAATAAGGAAGTCATCATTGTCAACAGAACAGCATATACTAAAAAGAAGGTTTGATCCTTTCATTAATTCGAACTTCAATTACTGACAGAAAATTATGAACAACAATTCAGCAGTGCAATTTACCTTTATCATCATCATCATCCTCCATAGGACTAGGGGGATCCCTATCGATTGCAATAGCAACATGATCACTATTAATTTTCCGACCACCTCGCACTTGTGGTGCAACAGTTCCAGGTGCTGCCCGTTTATTAATCTGCATCATAACCCATGAGCATCAAGATTGAATGAACACAGGAGAAGATTAAACAATCTGACGCAAGATATAATGAACATTTTAAATCAGACTTCCGAAGAAAAATGTTTTTGCATTTCTTTCTTTTTCCTTTTTAAAAACAAGAAACTGGGGCTTTGCAATCCTCTACCTCTACTTATCCTAGATAAAAAGTGATACTCCCTCCGTCCCGAAATTATTGTCCAGTTTGGGTTTTCATTTTTAATACAAATTGAACCAAAAGTGAAAACCCAATCTAGACAATTATTTTGGGACAGAGGGAGTATATCTTTACAGACCTAGAAGCATGTAAAATCTTCATCAATAACTCCAAATAAGATCACTAATTCAGGCAGGCCTCTGTGTGGGCTGATAGGTCCAGACGACCTTTGGTGTATGCACTTACTCTATTTCAACATATTCCATACACACCGATATTATACTTTCACACCCAAGGACAATATCGTACAGATTGCGGCCAAACAAATCATTAAACATCAGACTAAATAAACTCATACAGATAATTTGTTTTTATAAACACAAAATTGATGGCTGTATGTAGAATAAGGCAGGTAGGCAGGTAGTTAGGAAGGCTCATGATCTAGCTTAGGATGTACTGGACGTTTTATGGGTTTAATTAATAAAGGTTCTTATTATTATCACACACACCCAAAAGAAGAAAAAAAAACAAAAACATGTCAGATAGAGATAGTTCACATCATCCAAAAATATTTCAATGAAGAAAATATATAGTGCAGTTAGGCTTAAATAGTGCACTGGTTGTAAAATTACATACCAATGGATCAACTTCCATAATTTCAGAACTTGAACTCGTTTCCTGTCCTGACTCAGCAAGACGCCGAAGGATAGCCAGTTGAGACTCCTTTTCAAGTAGTAAATTTTCAAGAGTCAGTTCCTTTTGCATCAATCCTTCCACTCTATTCCTTTCGACACCCAAAAGTAGATCTCTATCTTGAACTGCTGCCTGCAGTTTCTCCAGTTCTGATAAGATGAAAGAGATCTTCTTTTGCAATTTGACTTCATAATTTTTGACTTGATTAGCTTCAACATCAACGGGAGACATATCAGGGACCTGAAACTGTGAAACCAATCCGTCTAGTAATGTTAACACTTCGAGGACTTCATCAGTGTGCCTTTTGTTACTCATCTGAGTAGCTGATAGTGTTTCATTGGTGCACCTAGTAACTTCTTGCCTTAAGAAAGATATCTCCTGGTCCCGATCTTGTAATTGTGACTGAAGATTTTCAACCTCAGAGAGAAGAGTCTCTGACAGGTTGTGAAGCTCATCGAACTTGCTAACAGTCACAGAAAGCTTTTTCAGAGCCTTTCCCCGAGAAGCATCAACCTTTTCCAGGTCCTGATTCTTTTTCTGCAATTCTTTTTCGAGCTCCAAAATTTTATTTGATAGTCCTTCCATCTGTGATTCCTCCTCATCGAGTGCTTGCATTAGTGCCTCAATTTCTGAAAGAGAGGAAACAGATATCAAGTAAACACAAGATAAAAATCTTCCAATAAAATTGAATAGCTGACAGAGAAAACAGAACCTTGATCTTTTGCAGCCAGCGCATCTGACAGTGAGCTGACTCTCCGTGTGAGTTCTACACACATAGCTTCTTGATCTTCTAATTCTTTAATTCTTCTTCCCAACTTAGCATGCTCCTCCTGGTTGACACTTAATTGAACCTGCAAATCATTTGCCTGAGTCCTTGCTGATCGAAGGTCTTGCAGGTGGGCCATCGCCTCGGCTTTGGCTTCTTTGATCTGATCAGCAAACTCTGAGCATATTCTTTCTCTCTGGATGTCCTTCTCATGAAGTTCTTTTTGCAAGTTCAATATAAGAGCCTTCATCTCCTTTTGACCATCTTCCAAAATGGCATTTTGCTTGGAAAATAAATCCCTCAACATCGATAACAGTCGATCTCTCACATTAATGACATTTTCCTCCAACAATCGACCAGTTTCTGGCATAGAAGCATCTTTCCAAACTATGGTTTGAGCATTCAAATGCCTATGTGGAAGTTCATCAGGGAAATGGATCTCACTTTTTCGACTGTTAAAGTTCTCAATTTCTCCAATTGAGATGTTGCAAGCTTCATATAGCAGAGCTACATTACGTTGCATAAGCAATAACTCAGAATCTTTATCATTCACAACGGATTTTAATACTACGAGTTCGTTGTCCTTCGGTCCGAGTGACTCCTTCAGTGAGACCACTTCTGTGAACACAGTCCTTAACGTTTCATATATATGGCTAGCTTCTTCATGACGTGACGAGTAGTGCCGCTGCAAACGGTCCTTAAGTGAGCCAACTTCTGTCATAAACATCTGCAAGCAAAGTGCAGAGAAATTATATTACTGTGTGGAAACACAGCAGCAATGTTAAATTTACATGCCGCACATTCAGAAATACTTCCAGCGACAGTACAAGGAATACCTTCAAATCTAAGCTTTATGCCTCTATCATCCCTCAGTAACAGAAATTTCCACAGATAACAGAAAAATCGAGAATAAAAACATGGCACAACAAAATTATTTGCTTTCATGCTCCAGCCAAATAGGATTCAGCATAAAGAAAACCTAAAATGAAAACTTTTAAGTATTGGCTTAAGAAGCCACAAATTCTGAAAAAGATGGCTTCACCAAAACATGACGATCAAAGGTTCCAAACTGAAAATATTCCCCTTAAGAATCCGGATAAATCAGCAAGGTTGTTAACAGTCAAGAACTAAATAAAACTTTAGCATAACCGCAGATTTCGGCACTTCAAGAAGATTAAAGAACTCTGGCCAACTTACAAAATTGAGAGAATACATCCAAGTAAATAGAATGAATGCTGGAAAGGAAAAATGAAAACCTTCAAGCTAGAGATTCATCATGAGGGATCATATAAGCTATAAACTTCAGAAAAATTCAACAGGAAGAAAGCTTACATCTGGAGAAGTATGTTAAGAGATGAGATTGTTTTGACATGAGCAAGATATTAACGGCTAAGACCTAATTTACTAGAAGGAAAAAACTTCAGAGAAGAACTGAGTGCTAAAGAGTGGAGATAGATCCTCAATTCTTTTACAGAACCCTAACAACGGACACAGAATCTGCATTCAACGTCTCATAATCCAGGGAAGCTATGAACATAAAATCACAACTGACAACACTAAAAATGTAAAGATAATAAAACTCCATACCTCAGAATTCAGGGGGGCTAATTGATCATATATAATCATAGTCAAAAACAGGCACAACATTATATTTTCGATGGCCTATAAAAAAAATGGACAGTTAGGGAAGCGGGAGAGGGTTAATAGCTAAGCAGAATCTAGTTCCACGACCTCAGTGCTATTTCAATTTTGATAGAAAATGAATGACACAATGCCACACAAGGATAACAAGCTTTGATGGACTTAATAGGCAGTACCTTCCTAGTGCTCTGTCATAGAAAATACTACCATTTCAACTCAACTGAATGATGTCCTAATAGTTTCTTCCAATTCTTTTCAGATATTCCCCTTGTCATACTAAGGGAGCCTAAAGGTTTCCTTCCCAATGTTCCAAACCAGTTTTAGCATAATTTTCTAAATTTTGGATCTACAGTGCCCTTTCTAAATCATCAAACAACAACTGCAAATTTAAAATATAAAAGAACAAACTAGCATCAACGATACAAGACTCACAAAGCTTACCTTATTCTCCAATTTAGGGTTATTTAAGGCAGAAAAAACACCAGCAGCAGGCATGGTAGACGTGATAGAATCATTTGTTGTCTCTAGGCATGCTTGCAGGCAGGCATTCAGATTCCGTAGGATCTCCAAATCCTCAAAGAGAACATCAGCGAGGGAGCTGTCAATAGCAGAAATCTCCATCTGAAGTTGATGAACAGAAGACCTTAATGTCAAGACTTCCGATAAGAGATGATCCCTTTCTTCCAATCTGTCCGCAGACAGCTTCTCAAGATGCAGGAGAGCTTCAGATTTTTCAGCTTCAAACAACTCCTTTTCCCTGGAAAGTTCTGACAGCTCATTGCCAACGTTAACAAGCTCCTCTTGAAGAGCATCATTTCTTTCTTGCACCTCGTTCAACTCAGCAAGAAGTAGTTCAGCTGCTCTTTTAGATTTTCGGGATTCCTGCTCGGAACATTCTAATGCTACGAGTAAATTTTGGTAGGATTTTCCAAATGCTTGAAGTGTTTCAAAAGGATTGCCAGAGCCAAGATCAACCTGAAAATCTTTGAAGCAATCTATAATCAGAGCCAACGAATGTTCTTTTTCTTCTAGGCGGCGTTCAGTATCAGACAAACTGTCTCTCAGGTAAGCACACTCCCCTTCAGTTACTTTTAGCCTCTCAAGGCTCATGGTCAAGTTTTCAACCTTCTGCTCATAGTCTACAATGGCATTTTCTCGAAGAGTGGCAGCAGATTTTAGGCGGTCTACTTCAGCATTGGCTTCATCAATTACTTGTTTCATATTGTCTCTCTGCTGCACCAAAGACTTGCCCTTTTTGACAGCAATATTTAACTTTTCTCTTAAAGAAGCTGATTTCTGCTCCTCGTGATTAAGAAGCTCCTGCAATTCCAACTTCTTTGCATCCAAAGCTTCTATTTCCCGAACAAAAGATACATTGCTGTTGAAATAATTATCCCTCTCCTCCTTCAAGTAATTGATTTCAGCAATAGCATCCTCAAGCCTTTTGTTAAGGGCAAGGATATCCTCACCGTCTCCGGAATCTTTAGTTTTCTCTTCGGAAAGAGGAAGACGGGCATTCTTGTCCTGATGAAGATCCACAGGATCAACCTGTTCAACAGCCAGAAGTGCTTGGTATTTTTCTATAAGATTTTCCACCAAGTGTTCCAGATTTTCTACACTGTCTGAAGCAAAGTCTGGAACATCAGCGACTGACTCCTGAAGGACTTCACGGATCAGACCATGCAATCTTGTGATCTTACCATCATGATACTGGGCGTGCTCTTCATCTACAAGTTTTTGATCCAATTCTTTTCGCAATGAGATCTTTTCCTTCAGCAAATTCTCATTCTCTGTCTCCAAAAACGATGCCTTTTTTGAGAATTCACCAAAATCATTGTTCAAGGTCTCCAACTTTTTCAGAAGAACTTCTTTCTCCACAATAACTGAGTGATAAGCTGATTCAAGTTCAGAAATTCTAACCTTAGACTCTTCCAGGTCACCAGTTAATGAGCCACTAAGACTGTCCAAGTAGTCTATCCTCTGTTGGAGAGAACTACAATGGCTCTGGGTATCTGATAATGCACGTCCTAGCCATTGAATTTTGTTCTCGGGCTCCAGTGAGCTCAACTGAGAAGGAACTTCAATCTTTCCAAGAATCTCCTCCCAACGCTGCACTAGTTGATTCCTTTCAATTAAAGATTGTTCAAGCATATCATTATGCTCCGCCAACCCATAAAACTTACCTTGGAGCTCCTCAAATTTTCTTTTCAAGTCATCAGTTAGATCTTGATTTGGCTGTGTCTCTTCCTTCCATCCATCAGCAACAGCAAATCCACTCTCAGAATATGACCCTCCAACAGAACTTTTCTGGTCCCAATCAACAACAGAAGTATTGCCAGTGATCGACTTGGCCAACCAATGAACCTTGTCAATAATATCACTAGAGTGAAAGTTCTCAGGCAGTTCAAGATCTTCCAATATCTCCTCAATTCTCTGGAGCACAGAATCCTTAAGAAGAAATGACTCTCTCAATGCAGTAGCTGAGTTACGGATGTATGCAAGTTCTGATTTAAGGGCTTCCATGCGCTCACCTGCCTCTGAATAGGTTTTCAATTTGGCTTCAAGTTCATATATTCTTCCATCTTTTAACTGTAACTCCTGTGAACATTTCTCCAGCTGACTGGATGTCTCAGTTAGGGATTGCTTGAGACTGTCACGTTGGACAATCAACCCTTTGCCCTTGGATACAGCAATACCAAGCTTCTCCCTGAGGGATGAAACACGCAGCTCTGACTGTTCAAGTTCACTAACTTTCTCCAGTAACTCTGCTTGAAGAGCTGAAACATCCTTGATGCTCGTTCTCCAACTCTCTTTAAGAACAAGATTTTCATTTTCATATTGAACAAGTAACAAACTCAAGTGATCCAGTTCTCCGTGTAAAGCAGAAAACTGCACCTCCTTCATGACAAGATTCTCCTTGGACAATTTATGCTGCTCTGCAGTTTCATTCAATTTCTGAGTGAGGATGCTGACGAAAGCCTCCAGGCCAGGCAGAGGATCAATAGGATTTATCTTAACACTGTCAAGGATAAGTTCTTCCGAAATGGTATTAAACATTTTCATAATGGCATCTAGATGTAAACATCTCTTTCTCAATTCATCATTGTCTCTCACTAGATTCTTCATATCTGATTTAAGAATATCATTATCAGATAAAAGCTGCAATCTCTCATCAAGCAACTCTGGCAATTTCTCCAAAAGAGCATGCAACACACCAGGATCCAAAGGATCAAGCAATTTATCATTTTCTACCAAAGATTCAGTTCCAACAGTTTTCATGTATGTCTTCCCCAAGACATCAACAAGTATTCCATTATTGCCTTGCAGGTCATGGAAATTCTTATGCATCTCAGTGTACTTACTAAACAAAGAATGATGATCACTCAGAGTAGTCCAAAGCTGCCTCTGCAAACTGTCAATTACTTGGGTGGCAAAATCAATGGAAGCAGTAATAACACTACTTATACGGTGGGCATTTCCTTCGTTGGCAGACAATGTAACAGATGATATGGTCTGAATGGAAGAATTTAGCTTCCTAACTTCCTGAATAGTCTCAGTAGAAAAAGTCTTCCAGTCCCCTTCAAGTGTCAAACCCACATCACCAACTTCTTTTTCAAGATTTTCCACTGAATCAGATATAGAAAAAACCATTTGCTTCGAATGCCTGCGTATTTCGTCAAGATGGGTGTGCAATTCAGCAATTGTGTCATCAAAGTTTCGGAGCTTCACAGCAAGCTGATTATTTTCTGCATTGAGAGAGGAATCTTTCTTTTGTAGATTGTTATATGAAACTACAAGCTCCTTGAGATTTACTTCGGATTCACAAACATGTTGCTTGAGAGCTTCACACAGGAACACAAGCTCAATGTTTTCAGCTTCCAAATTGTTTCCATGATTCTCCCAGAAGCTGCAGAAATCTTTAAGCTCTGCATTCAAAACTTCAGTAGCTAGCCTATTTTTCCTCTCTCCTTCAAGGAAGGCACAGGCATTAATAGCCTGCAGAAATATTTCCTTGAAAACCAATTGCAATTTTTTGATTTGCTTCTTGGCCAGGATGTACGGATCCTCAGAAGGTGGATTTTCAGATTGATTCAACTTAGTTATTTCAGAGTCATCTGTGTGACTTTTCGTTTCAAAAGCTTGAATAAGTTTTGATACACCAGGTGCTGCCTGTTTGGAACTTGACCTGCACAATGAAGCTGAAAGAGACTGCATGTCATCAACAGCATTATCAATTTCCTGTAAAACATTGCTTCCCTCGTTTAATTGCATTTTCCAGGATTCAAAGCCAAATGGGTCATCGAAGTCATCCTTTACAAGCTTGCCAAATTGTACTGCATCATCAGTGCCTAAGGTCTTCTGTGTCCTCAAACTGGCAGTTTCACTATCATCAGTACTAGAGACGCGAGATGAACTGTCTATGTCTGCAACCTTCAGTCCACCAAATTGTTTCACTGCATTAAGAGCACCCTCACAGTTAGAAATCTCAGCAATATGCAGCTCAAGATTGGTTTTAAGCAGCACATTTTCCTGAATGAGTTGTTCAATAGCTGAACTTGCTTGTTGCAGTTGTCCCGTGGCCTTGGTCAAGTCTGCCTGTGATCCAGCCAGTACACTTTTACTCTCTACCAGCTCATGTGATCCATTTTCATTCTGGCTCAAGAGATATTGCTTCTCATCTGCAAGCTTATTTCTCTCGTTCGTTAATGAAGACACAATTCCATGTAAACTTGACATCTCTGCCTGTAAAGTTTCTAATGATATCTGACTGTTGGCCAACTCCAATGCTAGCTTCTCATTTACGAGGGGAAAATTCACTTGTGCGTCTGCCAGCTTTTTGTTGTCTTCCTTTGCAACAACAATGATCTCACTCAACTCCGAAATTTCTGCTTGGAGAGCTTGCACCATGGCATTGCGATCTGTCAAGTCTAAAGATAATTTACCATTCTCTTGAACAAGACGCTCCTTCTCCTCGACAAGATTGCGGTTTTCCTCTTCAAGTGATGCAAGATTTTCAGTTAAGTTAACATGTTCAGACTGAGCTGATGCAGTCAAAGCTTTGCAGTTTGCCAACTCTGTAGACATCTTCTCATTTTCCTGCAAAAGACATTCCCCATTCTTAACAATTGCCATTTTCTCTTCCATCAGCAATGCAATTCTGCTATTCAAACTTTCATTTTGAACTTGCAAATCTGACAGAGAATTTCTGCCATCAGCAAGCTCTGATGAAGTCTGGGCCAATTCCTCTCTCGACATTTTTAATTCATTTTCTAAGTCATCAACTTTGACTTTGAATTCCTCAAGTTCTGCCTTTGAATTTTGTAACTGCTTCTGGAGTACCTCCTTCCCAAAACTTAATTCCTGGAGCTCAGATCTACATTCTGCTAGCTCTTTAGAAAGGATTTCATTCTTTCCTTGGGCATCAGAGAATGAGGCACTGATCATGGATAATTCATCAACCAACTTCTGAATTTGACTATGCATTTGCATTTCCATCCCCAATTGGTCGTACAGCTGCAATTCATTAGCATCTTTGGCTAAACTTGTGAGATATAGCTGTTCTTTTATATTTTCAAGAATACTAACTTCAGGTGGATTCAAACAAGAAGAACCCCTTAAATTCTCCGCAGGAGACTCCCGCAAGCAGCACACAAATCTAAATTCATCTTTCTCAAGCCCCTTTATCATCTCAGCAAGTTGTGCAAGGCTAATTGAGCTTGGATTTGGTCCAAACGGCAGCTTCAGCATATTGTTTCCAAGAGACTTAGGAATGTCCTCAATCTCATAAACAAGAGAGCTTTCCACGTCATCTTTTTCACAACCTTTTTCAGCTCGAGCATCTTCACTAGATGGAAAATAAACATCGTGGATCTGATCACCCTGCTGTCCAGCACTTGCAACATACAACTCTTCTGCTGCTTGCAAAGGCTCAGAAGTAACATGTCTCTCGGGAGCTTTTTCCACATCTGCAATCATAGAACTTGAAGAAACTTCAGCTGACTGATTGTTACAAACACCTTCAGTTTCTACTTCCTTGTCCTCCATCATGGTACCAACATCAGAGACCCGTTTTTCTATCTGTATATCAGACATACCATCAATTTGTTCTGACCCTGATCCGCCAGCTTCCTGCATGGTCCCTACCCAGAAAAAGATGAAATTACAATTATAAATCAATTTTTTGGAACATGTGGGATTGAGGACAAATACAGGTAAACATCAAGAGAAAAGGCACAACCTACATCTGCTACCTGCTGCTCCCTAAACCTGTCACCTTGGGATGACAAATCAACATCTACAGAATCACCATGTTCAACATCCTTATGGACATCAGTTGCATCTCTGCCTTCTAAAGAAACTGGAACCTCCACATCGTGATCATGTTCGCTACAGCTTCTGGAATTATCCACCCCCAGATTCTCTTCGGTCGGTGCTGAAGTTAATTCTACGTTGCTATCCTTGGATAAATCGCCACCAGTAGCAGCTTTATCGCTAGACAGCGACAAATCCTTCACAGGATGCAATTCTGATGAATCAACTGCATCCCTATCAACAGAAATCGATACTTCCTTATCCAAAACATTTTTAGATGTTGCAGCTGCAGCATCAGAACCAACTTTACTACCCTTTCCCCCATCATGTCCAGATTTACTGGAAGATTTACCACCTTTGCCATCCTTCTTCTGCCTGAACTGTTGTAGCTGAAATTTCAACGAACGAGTAAACAACAATTCATAGAAGCTGACAAAAGAAGAGTCAACAACAGTAAATTTGAATTGATAGCTCAAGAATTATGTATCAGCACATCTCATTTTCTAAGGAGAAAATGAACATAAACTTGATCGCCCATTACTCGCAAAACATACTTCTCCTTCACACATACAGAAAAAATGCCTTTGTGCTCATCAGCATATTAAGTACAGTACTTGAATTTACACACAAATATAAAAAAAATTAAAGTCCAATATTCAAACACTTGTTTCCTGCTCTATTCATGTGTTGGCATAATCTTCCCTAAGCACTCATCGGTAAGTCATTTTCCCGGTGAAATTCAACAATTAAAAACCATTCAGCCGACAATTTTATTCACCTACATCTCACCGTGAATAAATCAATTCTAAAATAAACCCAGAACCCCAGAAGAGCAAATTAAGAATCAGAAACCATTCATATGGCAGATAAACTACAGTAATTCGTGTCAGAATAAAATACCTTTTTACGACCAGCAGCAAGTAGATCGGTTCTGTTGTTCTTATTATTATTCTTGTCCATGGAAACTGATCGACTGTGACAACAAACAGCTCGTATCTAACACTTCTTCATCAACATTGCATCAAATCAAATTACCGCCATCTGCAACAAAAACAACGATCATAAATGAACAAAGACAACTTCAATACTACAAGAATAAATATATTTCCACCAGAAACAAGAAAAAAGAAAAATCAGTGTCGCACCTGAAGAGTTTGAATTGACAGAGATAGAAACAACAATCAAATGTGCTCGAGGGTAATTTTTTAGGGTTTGATTTTGCTTAGTTTTGAAGAGAAACTTATAGTATATTTATTTAGGTGAAAGTTTCGGTTGAGTTCGGTGTTGCGTTTAGATCTGACGCAAATTTGAGCCGTGCGGAGGAATTAGGAGGATGCGGGACCGCGGGTTGTTCTCTTGAGTGTGAAAAAAAAAGGTTGGCACATGAAAGGAAAGTTGTGGGAGCCAAATTTGTATTTTTCCCCCAGGCCCAGCATTTCGATTCAAATGTTGGCAAATAAATTTAGTGAAAAGACAAAATTCCCCGAGTTATGTTCCAAAGACTAATACGATCCTGAATTTTTTTATAAGGACAATTTCCCCCTTGACCTCCAGTCAACACCTTGATTGACCCCCCTAGGGCAAAAATGACCAAATTACCCTTTTTATCTTAAAACAAATTTTTGTGGACAAGTTATATCATTTTTCAAAAATTTATTTTGTTTAACAAATCATCAAAAGATTTATTTAAATATAAGACATATTGTTTAAGGATAAGACACATTTATCTGAGGATAAGATTTATTCAAAACCTATTTTGTTTAATTTATCTACGGTTGATTTTTTTTAAAAAAAAATGATAGACTTCAACCATACTCTACATTGATTTTACTAATAATGAATAAATTTAAAAGATGACTAATGTTGAAATTATTCTAACTTTTGGACAAATTATATATTTTTTTGGAAACAAAATTCAATCCTCACTAAATTAGTTTTTTTACAAAAATTAATTATTTTTTTAAAGGAAAATTATTTTTAACAAAAATCAGTGAATATTTTTATTCCTAAATAAATTTTTCAAATGATTTGTTAAAAAAAAATAAGCCATTGAAAAAAAAGAAGATAAAATATGGTTCGGTGGTGGTTGAAAATTATGTGAAATATTTATCTCTAAACTAAATTGAAATGTTGTGGATGATCTTAACTTTAAACAAGATTTGGTTTAAGAGATTGAGAAAAATTGATTTTAAGAGGTTGGCCATACATGCTTCTGATAAGTAATATTCACCTTTTTTAAACAAGGCATGTGCTTCACTAAATAACATCGAGTTTGCATGTGCTTCACTAAATAGAGGGCAGGCTAGCATAATTTTTCTTTTTTTTTTTTCATTTTTTGTTTTCAAACAAGGCAAGAGATTTAAATTTCAGAGTTTTTATTATTTTTCTGTTTCATTTCAAAACGTAACACAAAAATAGTTTAACGAAAAGTTCTTGGCACTCTCATTTATTCAAAACTACGACTGTGAAAACATATTGTTGCGATTAAATGACGTAAAACAAATACCTTGGATATTGTATCTTTTTAAATAGATTAGCAAAGAAATATTCTTTTAATTTGAAAACGACTTTCTTTATCTAAAAATTAATAAGATAATTCTATTTTTCGGTTAAGTTTTTATTGATTTAAAAAATAGAGCAAAAAATCTTCATTAATGTTAAATGGGTGTCTTGTGGTCTTGTGATAATCATAAAGATGTGGGACTTCAATTTTCATCAACCATGACATCGGGATAGGTCAGTACTGTAACTTTGTACTCTGAATTTCTTTAGGGATTTAATTGATTTGAAACTAATTTTAGGTTTTGATATCATTAAAAACTCAAATTGATATGAAAATTACTTATGAACACAGAAGCAATCCCAAAACTTTAATTCTTGCTCTAAAACCAGCCCTAAACAAACAAACAAAAAGGGGAATCGGATCATAAAAATCCAAAACAAGAAAGAAAAAAAGAAAAATGATGTTGATGTAACCCCAAGAGTAACGGCTCTAACAACCCTTGCCAAAAAGATTATGACGACGATGGATTAATGTGCTCCCTTACAATGACACCTAAATAACTTTACAAATAAGGACACTACTCTTGGATGCACCTTCGCTATTTTATGCTAAACCCTAATTCTTGCAAAAAGCCAATTAACCTCAAAAGGTCAAGAAACAAGTTTTCCTCACAAATTTGTATTGAATAACAAATTATCAAAGCATACTGAAAAACACGGTCAGGACCCCCTTTTGTAGAGCTATAGGTCGGCCAAGAGGTCTCTAAATCCTAATAGAACTCTAACTAGGGTTTGTAGTTCTAGAAGTTTCCTAAAAGGGAAATGTCTCCTAATTAAATAATTAAACATGTCACAATTATTTAAGATTTATTGAAAGACCAAATATTACCTATTTTAATAGACTTTGGTTGAAAAATTAATAGGAAACGAATTAAAAGTAAAACCAAATGAAAACAAAAACTTTTCCAAAAATTCGAAACTCTTCCGTCGACTTAAATGTCAGCCGCCGTGTTTCTCGACAGACCTCGACGCTTGTTGTAAACTTGTTATGTCGCTCGACCAGCGGCTCGACGTGTGGATGAATTTCAAAATGTTCCAAGGTTAAATAAATCATCCAAGGAACTTTGTCCACCTTTTAGAATTCTTCTTGAACTCGAAGATCCACGATCAATGATTTTAGCATTTCATCTCTTTTCTTTGCTCGAGGTCTTGTCATCGGACCTCCAACATTAACTAGAGATCTTGAACACGAACATTGCTTGGATCTCCTTGGATTTCCACATCATTCCCCCCTTTCTCGGAAAGATCAACCCTCGAAATCTTCCATAACTTTAGCATCTACATAATCAAAAGGAGAAATGTCAGAAACGTTAAAAGTAGCACTCGTATTATACTCACTAGAAAGATCAAGCTGACAAGCATTGTTGTTCAAACACTTGACGACTTAAAAAGACCATCTCCATGCCGATCAAACTTCAATCTAACCTTGTTAAGAAATCAAATCTTTCTCAATGAACACAAACCCAATCACCGTGTTCAAAGATTACTTCCTTGCGACCCTTATTCACCATCCTAGCAAAATGTTCATTTTCCTTCAAGATATTCATGTGCACTTTCTCATGGAGATTGCGCACAAACTCCGCTTTCTTGGCTCCATATACATAGACACTCAAAAACAGGTAACGGAGACAAGTCTTATGGGGTTAGTGGATCAAAGTCATAAACAACTTCAAACGGGGAAGGTTGTATAGTAGTATGTATAGTGCAATTATAAGCAAACTCAGTAATAGGTAAACAAGACTCACAATTTGAATTCTTTTGGATCAATGCATGCGACAAAGAACCAAGTGTCCTGCTGACCACCTCCGTTTGTCCATCTGTTTGAGGATGAGGTGCCGTGGAAACAACAACTTAGTACCTATTTTACCCAATACAAGTAGAACAAATTTTATCTACATCATGATGAATATAAGGCCAATAAAAGTGCTTATCTAACACATCATATGTCTTTAAAATATCAAAATGATCCATAAGAATACCACCATGAGATTCATTGAACAAGTAACTCGCGCAAAGAACAAACTGGGGCACACATCAATTATTTTTAAATAGAAACCATTCATGGATATAATACTTGTTAAATGCACCACTTTCACATGCTTCATTAATGGATGCAAAATCAAAATCTATAGAATAAAGATCCTTAATGAATTCGAATTCTAACATCTTAATATCAAACACAGAAAACACACAAGATCTGCGAGACAAAGCATGCACTACAATATTCTCTTTACCTTTTTTATATTTAAATGCATGAGGTAAATGATAACAATCACACAGTCGAACCGAATTTCGTTAATTGAACCGTCAACAAGAAGGTACAAAAATAATGTTTAAATAGTGAAACTCTAGAAGAGAGCCGAAAATCACACTTAAACCAACCACTTAGCAATAACACTACTATCTTATGAACTCAAACTCAAATCATAAACAGAAAATCCAAATAACCATTTGGATTGAACAATCGAGTCATAAAAGACTAAACCCTTTAACATAATTAAACAATCACCCATATAAATATCAACACATGCAATGAGCAGATCACTATTCAACTACAAACAATACCATCGAAAATATATTACTATCTAGGATAGGACAATTCACAACAACGGTAACAAGCACGCAAAACATATAAATCGAAATGTTATTTCCAAGCAAAACCGTATATGATATAGACAAACTCAACATGGAATCTCATTCATAAACATCATAAGAAATTCAAAAAATACAAGCTATAGAAAGCTCTAACTAATCGACATTTAATCAATTCACATACCATATTATTAGTTTTAAATTAATTAAATAGCGCAAAAAAGTAAACATGATAAAACGATTTAACTCTAAGATCAGGTCCCATTAGATCTCAAAGGCAAAGAAATTGACTAACTATACAATTCCTCCAAAACAACGTGCCACATTGTAAGAAAACCATACAATGATGATATTTCATTAAAAAGTCACAAGACTTATAAAAGTTTCAATTCCATCTTGACACTCTATTGGAGTTTTGGCCATGCCTTTTTATAGGTAGGGTTTCTCGCTCACCAAGAAGTAAACCTAAACTTTAGGCTAAAGAATGTGTATTTGCCTTTCTCCCTTCTCGATCCAACACACAGGAAGGAAAGATGAAGTCAACTTTGACTCTAACTCTTACCCTAAGTTAATTAACTATTTAGTAAAGTAAGGCATCTCATGCATAAATATCATAAGAAATTCGAAAAACACAAGTTATAGAAAGCTCTAATCAATCGACACTTAAATCAATTCACATACAAGACTATTAGTTTCAAAATAATTAAATCATGCAAAAAGCAAACATGATAAAATGATTTAACTATAAGATCAAGTCCCATTAGATCTCAAAGGCAAAGAAATATTGACTAACCGAACAATTTCTCCAAAACAACGTGCAACTCAATGTTTTAAGAAAACCATCCGATGCTGATATTTAATTAAAAATTCAGAAGACTTATAAAAATTCCAATTCCATCTTGACACTTTATTGGAGTTTCGGCGATGCCTTTTCATAGGCAGGGTTTCTTACTCACCAGGAAGTAAACCTAAACTTTTAGGCGAAAGAAAAGCTTGATTTCCCTTTCTCCCTTCTCGATCCAACACACATGAAGGAAAGATGACGTCAACTTTGACCCTAACTCGTACCGTATCTTAACTATTAAGTAAACTAATTAACTTCACTTCTTTTACCTTCAAAAGACTCAAATACCTTTAATGATTTAACTACTAGGGTTTGGCCATCAGGGTATTAATTTAACCCAATAGTAAATCAATTTATTGATTCTAGGTAAATAGAATTATTATCTATTGGACAAATTGCACTCTTGGTGCCTTAACTTTGTAGGGTCACAACTTCGAGTCACCATTAAATTTCGACTGACAAAATTGATCACCGTCTTTTTTGTTTATTCATCAACATTGATCCATTTAACCGAATTTTTCAAAAATTAATGGTGGCTCTCTTAACCCGTTAACTCTTTCATTTTTTTATTACTTTCCTTTGACATGGGCCCAACTAACGTTTGACCACAAAATTTGTTTTTTGTTATTTTTCATTTTTAAAAAAAAAAAAAAACCAGTGGAGGAGAATTCTCAGGCGGGCTTGATGCTGGTGGGGCGGTGAAGCAACAGGTGGCTTTGTGGATGGCGGTGGAGGTGAAATCTCAGGTGGTTTTGCAGCTGGAGGTGGTGGAGGTGAACTTATGGGAGGATCACTGGGTGGTGGTGGAGGAGGAGAATTCACAGGAAGATCAGTGGATGGCGGAGGGGGTGAGCTTGTTTGAGGATTAGTCGATGGAGGTGGTGATGAAGTAGTGGGTGGTATAGCCGGATGAGGAGGTGGTGAGCTAGATGTTGTTGGTGGCGGAGTAGAAGTGGAAACCGCCGGTGGAGATACTGTTGTAGAAGGTGTTGGCACAGCAGCCACCGGAGACCAATCTAAATAATGTTTACAACAAATCATGGTTATAAATTTAATTTAACCAAGTTACAAGTATTTTTTATACTTTAATGAAAGACCAATCTAAATATTACATGTGACACAATTTACCTACAATCACTCTCTGCACGACATTAAAACCCTAGACATTAAAACCCTTACTTTAATGTATATATATATTTTTGGAGAGAAATTTTTTTGATTCTTAATATTTATCATTCTTAAGGTCTAGGGTATATACTATATATTTGGTTTCAAGAATTTCCGTTCCTAATGACTTTTCAACTAGTTATTAACTAGTATAGGCTGTTTATATGAAAATTGCGAAAGAATTTACAAGATGACACCACAAAATCTGGAGGCGAGCCATTCTTTTCTCTCTCTTTTCTCCCTCCAATTCTCATATTTAATTTATTATCAATAATGAAATCATATATATCACTTAATTATAGATAAGGTTTGAAATGCATCTTATGCAAATTATAAATTGAATAAAATGTAGAGTTCATATATATGTAGTTTTTTATGGTATGCTTATAAAAATGGTGAATATCTTGCTCCTTTTCCAATTTTTATTCTTAATACCTGAAATTGAAAGGTCCCAATCATTTGCTTCTTGTTATATATACATATATGTTCAATGCAGCGAATATAGAGATTTGGAGAAACGAAACTATACAAACAAATGAAAGGGAAAAAAAATAGAGGAAGAAAAAATGGCCTCTTCTCTCAAGTTACTCGAATCATTGTTGTTGGTTGTTTTGTACTTATATTCATCTCTTTGTTTGGAAGTTCTGATGATACAAAGAACTTGAGTTTGGTTGATACAAATTGCTTGAGGGTGCCAATTGATCGTTTCGTTTCAAGGGTGAATACCACAATTCACAAAGTTGAAAAGGTGAACTCTCGTGTGTCCAAATTCAACAAGAAATCAAGGGATGATTGCCTTGAGTTGCTTGATACTTCAGCGGAGCACTTAGGCTGGACCCTGGATACTTTACTCAACCCTAATGGTATATATTTGTTTCATTTGATTTGTTTATTTGATTATTTTCATTTTTTTCTTTATAACGTTTTTATTTTCTCTTTTGAAGAAAAACCAAGTTTCAGTTTTGTCTCGTGGATATTATTATCATCTTACGCTTACCTTGATTAATTAATTGGCTTAGTTATTATTTTGCTTGTGTTTATACATCTTTAAGCATGATGAAGTGTTTATTACATGTTTAACTTCATATAGATCTGTTTAATCTCTAGTAGGTATATTAATTTCTGAAGTTCAAATTAGGGATTTATTAATACTGTTTGTTGTTAGGCCACCTCGGTATCTATTCTATCCATAGTTTTGGAGTAAGGATCTCTCACACTATATATCTAAGACACAAAACCACCATATTTTCATAGGTTTTTGTTTTGATAATAACTATCTTTTTAAGATTTGACTAACACTATAACTTACTATTGGATGAACGCGACCTACCATTGGATGAAATGTTTAAGCATGATGAAGTGTTTATTACATGTTTAACTTCATATAGATCTGTTTAATCTCTAGAAGATATATTAATTTCTGAAGTTCAAATTAGGGATTTATTAATACTGTTTGTTGTTAGGCCACCTCGGTATCTATTCTATCCACAGTTTTGGAGTAAGGATCTCCCATACTATATATCTAAGACACAAAACCACCATATTTTCATAGGTGTTTATTTTGATAATAACTATCTTTTTAAGATTTGACTAACACTATAACTTACTATTGGATGAATGCGACCTACCATTGGATGAATGCTTACTGGCTTGTGTCATGGAGAGTAATTTAGGAAGTTTAGTAGAATTCGTAAAAGATCTTTTACCTATTTTTAGGACGGTATATGGCAAATAATATTAGTAACCGGGTTTCATTATTTAGGGCCCTACTTGGTATGTTAAAGCTTGAGCGTAAATGAAAATATTACTATTGTACCCTTAAAAACAAGTGTTAATAATTAATAATTAATAATTAATGTGGTAATTGCTAGCTACCCTTAATTCTCTTCTACAACAGGAGGGGTGATTGAGAAGGTGGTGGTGAATTGGACTGAGAAGGAGGTGTTGATGTAACAGTTGGAGGAGGGGAAGGGGTTGGCGGAGGAGGGGATAAAGTTGGTGGTGGAATAGATGGAGTGGAATATGGAGATGGAGATATGGCTAACATCTCAAAATTCTTCTTAACACCATCTAAATATAAAAAAATGATGTTGACATTTCAAAAAACACCATTAACAGAGATGATGAAGTCTATCATTAATACACAAAAAATGAAGAAGACAGATTCTCAGGAACTTCAGCACAAAAAAAAAACTCCAAAATTCCTTCAACCAAAGATCATTAATTCAATCCAAGAACTAACAAAATTTAGACTTGTTTCAACCAATAGAAAAACAAAACTTTTTTTTTTTCTATTTTTCTGAAAATGAAAATTAGATTTTTTTTGTGGTTAAATGTCTGTGGGGCCCATGTTAAAGAAAAATAATAAAACTGAAGGAGTTAAAGGATTAAGGGAGTTCTGTGTTTTTCACCCCTTTATCGGCATGGCAGGGGTTAAACCTCATCGTGATTTTTGGCTCAAATCAATCTTTTTGGCCGGTAATCAGCTACCTCTCAATGTTCTTCATACCGTTGGCGATTACTTTCACTCGCTCCGATAGTGGAAACTTGATCTTATTGGCCAAACCGGACCTCCTCGGGTAGACTTCTTAGAGAGAACCTTGTTCAATTTCATTTCCATCCACCCATCAGCTCCATCCAAACCTCTCGACGTTCTCGACTATCTCCGTTCCAGTATCCTCGGACCACCTACTTCTCAGCCACCCATTCAATTTTGGGAGACCAAGACCCCCAACATTGATAAACCCGAGCCATTCTTGTCTGCTGATGTCTTGCACCATCTTGGTTTCGACTTCAAGTCTTTGCCTACACGGGTTGGATGCAGAGGCATTCAATGTGAGTATATCTGGGGTGGAAAGGTTGCTGTTCATCTTCCTTTCTTGGAGATCGTTAGTCTTGCAAGCTTAAATGTGTTAATTAAGTCTCTTGCAGACTACGAGAGGGTTCCAGGTTCTGTCCACCAGCCTGAATGTACCTTCTATTTCAGGGTCATGAGCCAACTCGTGCACTCATCAGACGATGTCAAGATTCTTAAATCTTATCGAATTCTTGGAGGTGTGGATCTTGACTCTTTACCAGATATCTTACAACCATGCTATTCCTATGCCCCTGAGTATGATGATGCACTGTGTGTCATGCGCGAAATAGACAACTTCAAACCACTTTTAAGCTCTTTCCACAAAGCCAAGAGATCGAAGGATTGTACCCCGTCCCTTAGTGCTTCAATTCTTGGCGTTTTGGGCGGATTCACGTCCTTGGGATTGGCTTCTACTGTTTATGGAAAGTTATACTCTTGATAGAGAGGTACTACTATTTAGTATTAGTAATTATTTTTTTAACTTGTGGCTGCCATGTTTGCAATGTTTGACTAATGAATACGATGTCTATTGTCTTGGGCTGTTTTGCTTCTCAGGGATTGGAAGAGGAGTTGGGAGCATTTTGAAGTCGGCTAACAATTCTATCAAGCCCCTTGCACTTGTGCCTTTTGTGCCTGCTTGTATGTACTAACTCTCTTGAACCATTGCAAGGCGTTATGTTTATTTATGTTACAGATACACTTTCTGCGGTAATTTATCTATGTAGTGTTCCTGTATATGCCCTTTGTGTTCGCATTTCCAGATTTCTTATCGAGGGTTGAGTAATGCTAGGGTTGAGTAATGCTCTGAGATTTTGTGACACTCAAATCGACTTTCCTGATCAGTAACGAACTACTGCTAATGCAATTTCATGTTTCTGTTAGTTTTGTTTATAATTTTGCAAGTTAGTTGTTGGGAAGTTTGTAGCTACTCGAATTCTCGATATCTTTTTTGATGAACCTACAGTATGCAGTATATTATGCTTTGTGGAACCGATCTTGGTCTGATGAAGTTTTTGCTACCTACGTGAAAATTCAGACAATTTCGTTTTATGTATGGATGCATTTGGGTTGGGGCCTGTCGACTTTTAGATTTTGAACATCTTTCAACTTTGGTTTTTTAGTGTCATTCTGAAAGTGAGGAAGGTCCACTGCAAGGTTTTTCTGCCTTTCTATATTGTTTTCCTCAATAATAACCATGTAAGCTTCTGACATGATTATCCACAAATAAACTTTCAGCTCTCTACAAAATATATTTTATCTAGGAGATTTACACTCATCGAGAATAGGATTCATATCTGTGTTTTGAGCTTTTTTTATTCTGGTTTGCACCTCTAGTCGCAAGTGTTTAAAAGGTTAGCTCCTCTGTGTCTGAACAGGTCTGTAAGGAAACACTTCTGGATGGAAACAAAAGGGTTGCTACCTTTTTTATCATGTCACATAAGAAGTTTTTCCCTTTCTCTTTTTCTGTAAGAACAGTTTGTATTTTGTGCTTCTGTCCATTTTTTCTTGGTATCTCCATATGTTTTGTCGGTGGATTAAACACGTTAAGGGCTACTGAACACACTATGTAGTTCCATTGCCAACTAGGAACTGAAATTTGTACGGGCTACAACTCTCTGATTTGATGTGGTATCCGAAATGACTACGCCATTGTTTTGGCATAAGTAAGCATAGGAAATATTTTTATGTACCATTAAGAAAACATGAGACTAAGTTCTTATGTCTTCTGGGCTGGGTGTCTATTCATTCGAAGACAAACTAGTGACAGGTTTGTAACTTCATATGGTCGTATGTTAAGCAGAATTTAGGGAAGATTTTTCTTGATAATAGCTAGTGAACAGCGGATTGTTTGATTGTGTGCTTTCTCACATTTAAATCAGTGAATTTAATTAAGGTATTTTAGCCGGTGAATTTAAGTAAGGTATTTTAGCCATAGAGGTAAGCTTCAGATTGGTCAAGGACAAAAGTTAAACTGTAGTTTCCATTTGAGTGGTTGAAATTAGTACAAAACTCAAACACAATACTGTTCATGAAGTAAGTAAAACTTAGTTAGTTTGAGTTTTGTGTGGGGTTTGAGATCGTCACGTTTGTATCTTCTTGTGAGTTCAGGTTTTCTTGTGGTAGAACAGCTTTAGATAGCTATATTGCATCAGGCAAAACTATGCAGATGAAATATTTTTGTAGAATTAGGGGGAAACATCAGAAACTATATGTTTATTATTGCTTCCTATTTCGTATTACAATTGGTATCTCTCCATTTACCAATGTCATTGTAGTTCCATCCCATAATCATTTTTATAGTTATCCAATATCTTAAACAAATGATGCATTTAAAGGCTTTATGTTCAAGTGTATTATTTTAATTTCGCTTAAGCTATTTGGTTCCCCTCAGAACGAGAGGGAAAGCACAGCGTTGTTGAGTGAGTTACAATGAGTAGAGCAGATCACTTAATCCAGCGATGTATCGTTGATCAAATTCATGTTGATACAAAAAGTTTTTCTAGGATCTGATTGTAATTACTTTCAACTTGTGCTTTTAATTTGCATACATGCAAATCTCTCCAAATCTCAGGTTGCCCGATATGTGCAATAACCGAAGTTAGAAAATATTGAGAAAGTATGATTTATTCCTAAACAACATAGATAGAACCACTGATGTGCATAGTTTCTTCCCATTCTTTGGATTCGTTGAATTCCGAGATTTTAATAAGAAAAGAAGCAGTCAAAAATGTTTTTGAATGGTAAACGTCCAAACGATCAATAGTTTGGAGATGCGGGGTCCTTTGCTTCCAAGTTGTTTCATTATCCATGCATACAAGTAGTTCAACTAGACCAGATCAAGGCAACCAACATCATTCATTCTATGATTTTTCATATGGCCCGGACGCGGAAAAAATGGACATATATACCAACCACACTATCTTATATCACCCAACTACTCAAAAAACCAAGGAAACAACAATAAAAGTCGATTACAGGCATAGAAACAGTTTTATGACAGAATGAAACAACATTTGGTGCCCCAACAATAGACAATCAAAATCACAAACAAAACTTTGAAGTGAATCAGCTTTCAAAAATATATTTGAAAATGCACTCTATCACAAGATTATAACATTTTTCTATGATCATAAATTTTACTAAGTGTCCGAACCGCATGACAAAAAAAACAACCAAAAAGTCAGGAGGGAAGAACCCCCACCCCTCCCCCCAAAAAAATACATCATCACAACATATGGGAATCATTTAGTAACCTAGACCACAAAGCATATGATGCCCGTGTATATTACCACCGCATGAAAACACCATATGAACTCACTATGCAAAAACACCATAAGAACTCACTATGCAACCAATGTAAAACAGAAAACAATCCTGACAGGGATATCTTGACCTGTCCAGCCGTTAAAAGATTTCGCTACATCAAAAGCTATGCAAAATGGAGAGAAAGACAAAGAAAGGGATGGAACTGCTCCCAAAAAAAAAGGCAACACTTCGAACAATTGGGAAACTTCACATGACGTAATCTTTAAAGGAGCTTCAAACTGATCACTCTGGTAAGGAAACAGAGACAAGATGCAACATGTAAATTTAGACCAACAGCACAAGAAGTTCATATCCTAATAACTACATCTCTACAACAACAAATTCATGATTGTAAATTAGTCAGACAGGGTATTTAAGAAGTAGCTTTACACAAGAGGGGTCATAACTATGTAATATATGACATGCGCATCTGCAGAGAGATAAGAGTAAAATTAAAGAGAAAGAGAAAATGTAAAGTTGGAAAACCATTCACCCCATAAAATAAAGACTTATACAGGTAACAGGGGAAAGCTTCGGCACATAATTTTTCAGTCCCATGTGTCTACGTGGATAAACTAATAGTAATAAGAACTACTGAAACAAAACAAACTTAAGGAGCATTGTAGGATTTAAAAAACAATGGCAGACAGCTGAACTGAACATACTACAACAAAGAGAAAGCTATGGACTGGGTCAAAATGTTGCAACAAACAGAGAACCATAATGTGCTGGGTCGAATCTTGTAGATAAGCAACCATATAAATAAACACAAGAGCCTCAATTAAATAGAATATGAACGAAAGGAGCTGAAAATCACTCCTCAAAATTATCGAAGTCTGCTCACCCCCCCCTCTTCCCCCACGGAATGTGTGCGGTGTCAGTAATTTTGAAATGGCCAGGGTGGTCCACCATGATAACATTACCGCCACCATGATGAGATTATTGGAAAGCTAACACAGTCGAGTCAATAAAGGCAAACATAAGTACGGTCTAAAACTTGGGAGAGAGCAAGAACACTGTTCCGTGGAAGACTAAAACATTCATCAGGGTTTGACCAAACGAGGTGAATATGCTAGGTATTCATCTCCCAGACGGAGCACTAACGTTAAAGGAATTAAAACCAAAGAGACGAAAAGACTTGAGGTTAAATGATTTTGCCTCTCATACAATTACAAAGAACAAGTGAATTCTTAGGATGCAAAGCACCTAAACTTGGAAAGTAGGATTATAACATGTCATACTCCACTACAAAGAAAATATCAAATAAAGTATGTACTCCACCACAAATAAACACCAAAGAAAGTACTGGATAGATAAGCAAAACAAGATAAAATGACACTTCTCGCACTTCTCCACGTTGGTCACCTGCCGGAAAGAGTACCTCCAAGAATAGACCCCTTAGTGAGTGAATATCTCGGCATGAAGTCGCTCGATCAAATACTTCAATGGCTGAACGACTTCATCTTGATCCCTAGGAGTGGTTAACAACAGCCTGTTGCCGGTTACGGATAACAACGGGAAAGAATAGCAGAGCGCGTCAAAAAGATTCATATCCCGAACATCCTCCAAAACAAGTAGAAACCTCTTATCCTTCAAGTAAGCATAAAGCATGGGTGGCATATAAAAGGCAGAAATGCCTAAATAAATATTCAGGACTTCCCATCTATGGCAAGTGAGGGAAATCAACAAATCTTTTATTATCCTTCCTGGGTTGGGGTCGTCCCCTACCCGAGCCCAGGCAATGCAATGGAAATGTTGGCGCACCAAGTAGTCATGATAAACTTCTTCAGCCAGGGTAGTAGCAACACCTGATTCCAACCCACAAAAAGCTATAACTGTGGCCTCCTTTCCCGGATGCAAGATACAAGAAATCAACCTCTTCCTGAATAGCTTCTCACATATATCCCTGAGGTTTATCCAGGAAGGAGGAGAAATCGGCGCACTGTCAATACCCTTCCACATATGCCCCAAGGAATAAACTCGTAGTTTGAAATCCCATTCTTCCTCTTCTTCCTCCTGGAAAGGAAAGTGGAGGAAAGAAGGGAGTAAATCCGGAGCCCAATCTCTGGAGGAACGGAATAAGGAGGAAAAGATTACACTCTCATAATCTTCATAGTTGGCGGGAGGAAAAGGAGGGGAAGGCTTCATCCTTCGAGCCCAGGGTGTTAAATTTCTCAATCATTTCAACCAAACTTCTAAACTCCGCCAGAAAGACATCTATTTCCGCAAAAAATGCCACTTACAGTCCCGCCGTCTTCCTCCTTCCGTTGAAACCTTGAGACGACGGTGGATGCTGTTTTCGTCGGTTGAAGAAGAAGAGAATCGAGAGAGACGATGGATGTGAAATAATCAATCCACTTATCCATCTTGGAAATTAGGTCGGCTTGATGCGACGGGTCCTGAAAGACGAGGCCTTTCTCGAGCTTCTGCCATAAATCATTAGTTTCTGAGGATAACTTTGTGAAATCCTCCGAATCAATCACTTTTTGCTCCCCAAATCGAACATTCTGCAGCTTCTCCAATTTAAACAGCAGACCCAACTTCTTTAAGAAATCACGGAATTTTAGAAATACATCACCCGCCGATACCGATGAATTTTTAGATACTCCATTGGGGTCAACGATTCTCTTCCCATTAGAATTTTTAGAAATTCTCGGGTATATCAATTCTATACCTAGATTGGCTGACTCAACGATTTCTGAACCCATTAGGCTCTTGGCTGACTCAAGAGTTTTTTCCCGATCCGATCTGATCTGAACCCTCCCTCCCGGATCTACTACGACGTGTATTATTAAACCGCGAGAAGATAAATGCGTAGATGAAGGGTTTCGGTGAGGCGGCGTGGGCTCGGTTTCGGTCCAATTTGTTTGCGTGGATAGGAGGAACTTGTCACGATCCGGGGTGGTTGTGCAAATTCAGGAAAATATTGTACTCAATTGACGTGGGCTGGGTTTCAGTCCTATTTGTTTGTGTGGGTAGGTGGAACTCATTTTCACTTTACTCGTTCATTTGTTTCTTGATTAGGGCCCGGGTTTCTACTCCTCTTTTTCGATTTGGCTGGTTTTTCTTTTCTTTCCATTGATGGTTGATATTAGGGGTGTTCACGGTCCGGATTGGTCCGGATTAATAGCAATTCGTATCCAAACCATTCATTATGGTTTGAAAAATTTTCAATCCGTAACCGGACCGGATTGGTGAATAATCCGGACCAATCCAATCCGTTTTTAACGGTTTGGTTTAGGCGGATTGGCAGTTTGGGCTTCTATTGGACTTTTTCATTTTGGGCAAAAAAATAAACATTTTTTTTTATTGTTGGACCTTTTTTGGGAGCTTTTCCTGAAATTTTTTGGGCATTTTCCAGCCTTTTTTTTTTAGACTTTTCTTAAAAAAAAAAATAAATTTAGTCCATGGGGGATTCGAACACATGACCTTCAGCAAGGTCTAATAACAACAACAATGTCAATGGGACAACTTAGCATTGTTGTTATTAGCAAGGTCTAATAACAACAACAATGTCATATTCCATGAGACAGTGTTTCCCTTTGATAAATCAAGTCTTGATCATAACGTAGATCCTTTATCATTTTCTCCAACCAATACATATCTTGATACTGAATGGTATTGTGATCCTGTTTACTCCCCTATTCCAGAAACAACTCCTTTTAACTCAAACTCACACTCTCCCATATCTCATACTTCATCATCACCTCAGCCTAAAAATGATCATCATTCACATCCATCTCCTTCACCACCACCAGTCAAAAAATCCACTAGAATTTCATAACTGCCAGCATATCTTCGTGATTTTGATTTGGGAAAGGCCAATTTGGCAGTTCAACTAGCTGCCTTTCAACAAGATCAATCCACTTCTTCACCACATACACCAAACACATTCCGTTATCAGACAACATCATGTTTTTCTTCTAGTCACATGTCTTTCTTAGCACAAATCAGTGTCATGAAAGAACCAAAATGCTATGCTCAAGCTAGGACAAATCCATAGTGGATTGAAGCCATGAACAAGGAAATAGAAGCTTTGAAGAGTAATCAAACATAGGCTCTCACTGATTTGCCACCAGAAAAGAGTGCCATTGGATGCAAATGGGTATACAAAGTGAAATATAAATCAGATGATTCAGTTAAAAGATACAAAGCCAGACTAGTAGCAAAAGGCTACAATCAAGTGAAAGGTGAAGATTTGTTTGATTGTTTTTCAACTGTTGCTAAAACAGTGACAGTCAGAATATTTTTTGTAGTAACCACTGCAAAACATTAGGGAATTTATCACATGGATATCAATAATGCCTTCCTTCATGGGCATTTGGAGGAAGAAGTTTATATGTTGCTACCAGAAGGATATATGAAAGGATAACTTGGTCAAGTTTGCAAGTTGAACAGATCCTTGTATGGACTGAAACAAACTTCAAGGCAATGGAACTTGGAGTTTACCACTCAAATTTGGTATTTTGAATAAACAATCAGCAAATGATCCTTGTCTTTTTAAGAGAATGATTGAGGGTCATCTTACTGCTTTGATGTTTATGTGAATGATATCCTTATCACAGGAACAAGTATAGCTGTTATAGACAAAGTCAAGAGATTTTTGGATGAAAGGTTTACAATCAAAGAGTTAGGGACTGCTAAATACTTCTTGGGCATTGAACTGGCTAGATCACCTGAAGGAATATATATCAATCAGAGAAGTATATTCTAGACATTTTGCAAGATACTGGATTACTAGGTTGTAAACCTACCAGCACTCCTTTAACCAAAGGCCATCAGTTTACTGATTCCCCAGGTAACTGTTGACTAATCCTTTTCAATATAGAAAATTGGTGGGACAGTTGCTTTATCTTCACTTCACAAGGCCATACATTTCCTTTGCTGTTCAACAATTTAGTCAGCATGTGCATCAACTATGTGATGGTCATTGGGAAGCGTTGATTCATATGTTGAAATATCTTAAGGGGACTGTCTTACATGGACTGTTTTACCCTTCTGATAACTTTTTTCAAGTGGAAGCTTTCGGTGATGCAGATTAGGGTTCCAATCCTAATCATAGGAGGTCTATATCAGGTTATTGTGTTTACCTTGGAGGATCCCTTATCTCCTGGAAAACCAAAAAGCAAGACACCATATCTTGTTCCTCAGCAGAAACTGAGTACAAAAGCCTCAGTTACACCACCAGGGAATTGTTATGGATCAGCTACTACTTGCAGATTTTGGGATCTCAGTGCGGCTTCCTGTGTCTCTTTTGTGTGACAATCATCCACCATCCACATTACAGAGAATCCCATCTTTCATGAGCACACAAAGCACTTGGAAATTGATTGTCACTTTTGAGACATCATTGCACCAAAGGTTTTGTTGTGCCTCTTTATGTTCCCTTTAAAGATCAAGTTGCTGATATATTCATTAAATCACTACCTTATCCTGAGTTTGCAGCTTTGTTGGACAAGCTTGGACTGAAGAATTTTCTTCACTGTCCAGTTGAGGAGGGGATGTAGATATTTATGTAGATGTACATAAATATATACTTGTATATATTACTGATTGTGATCAAGGACTAAAGTGTATAAATGTATAGATTGACAGGGGCTTATGTGAATAATAGGACTATAGAAGGATGTAAATGTAGAAGTCAAATTAGTTGACTGATTATCTATAATAAATAGGCGGATCTATGTCTAATTTACATTAATGAGAAAATAATCATTCAGAATCTAATTAGCTTCTGCTTTAAGCTTCTTCAACCGACCTTCTGTTCATGTGATTCTTCTTCCAAATTGATACTTCAAAACGTCAAGAGGCCATCCGAACTTCATATAGGTTTCTATGCAGATAATTAATGGTTTGCTGATTTAGAAGCACCGTTGATGCCGTGGAAAGAAATCAACGGGGATCAAAGATTGAAAGAAAGACCTTCTTAGGTTCAGAGGGAAATTTCAAGAAAAATGAGGGAAGAAGTCGGAAGGTGTGATTAGGGAATGAGGAAATAGCCAATGCTTCTCATCCTCCTCCACCTGCCATTTTCTTACAACGATTTACGATGACTACTCTCTAATCTTTAAAAAAATCCAACCTCTGGGCCTGACATATATTTATTTTTCTCCATCAAATCATGCACAATCAATAAATTACGGGGCACTACAAAAATTCAGCAACAATAGCTTGAAAATTCTAATTCATAGCTCAATACTTAGGAATTGATTAACTCGAAGATGACTGGAGGCAGAGTAAAAGCTATAATGTTAATTGAATAAGAAAAATACTTCTTCTAACTCAGATGAAAATAACATGCGCATGTGAACTCATTTTTTGTGATTACTAAGCATAAGAAGAAGAACATCATCTTCACACACTTCATAGCCCACCAGGGTATTCTCATCTTTAAAAAACCTTCAAGTTAGAACCAAGGATTGCTTTCCACATAGATACTATGTTTTCCTTGAAGGTCTTCAAGGTTTTCCTTTACTGCCCCTAATAGAATCAAAGGGTTGAACCCTAATCTCAAAGGGAGATCAGACTCTAATGAAAGAGTTTGCAATACTTGAATAAATGATGTGAGCGTGACAAATTAAATCCTAAGAACATTTTTTTCGGCAATATGTAATTCTATAGAATTGATGATTTACTAATAGCAATACAATTATCAAGTCATGTGGTGGTTTTTTTTCCCAAAAAAAAAAAAGAACAGCTTATTTTGGTTGTTTTTGATCTTAATAATCCTATGGCAATCAATATCAACGGAACCATTAAGTCCAATGGACTATAATTGCTCCACATATACAATATATATATAAAAATCCATCCTATTGTGGGAATTGAAGCCGACGCTAATTCAGAAAGAATAACATCTTAACCACTAAATTGTTATTCAATTTTCAATATAGATGAAATTTTCTAAAACATTATTATTTCATAATTTTTTTATTATTATTGATTTTCTCAATATTTGTATTGAGGGAGAAAATTAATTTACTCGAACTTATTATACATATTAGTAATAACTGATAATAACATCAACTAGGGGTGTTCACGGTTTGGTTTAAACCGGTGGAACCACCCAATCCGGTCATCGGTTCGGATTAACGAGCGGATTATAATTATATCTTGAAACCGGCAAATTGAAAAATTGAAAACCGGTCAATCCGGTCCGGATTACGGTTTGGCACTGTCAAACCGTCTGTCAATCCGGTCTGAACCGTATATATATTATAAAATAATAATATATTAGTTTTGTATATATAGCGTCAGATAGAGACTTTTATCGAAAATGCTAAGTTGTCCCATTGACATTGTGTATATACCCTCTCTCAAAAATTGAAAAGAAAAATCAACATATAGGAGATCTATGACCCTAAAGAACAAGAATCAAAAGAAACCAATGCTATAGACGCCACTATTATGTGAACCAAACACAATATATAAGTCTCTATTTGAAGCTACACAACCCCATGTAACACCAAACAAAAAGGTAGTTCTCGCAAGAACGAAACCCTAAGATCTCACAAAATATAATTATGAAAATCTCTCTCTCTCTCTCTCATATGTGAGAGCTCTCACTTGAATCATCGTAATTCTCTGCAAAACTATCACCTGACTCTTTTGATACTTGATATTTATTTTGATGATTAAGCGACTCTTCCTCATTGCTTCCTCTAGAAGATTGAGGTGAAAACTCCTTCCTCGAAGGCTAACTTCTCATAGCAAACTTCCCCAAAGTCTTGAAAGGAAATAATCTCGGCCCTCCAATTGATAAGAACTCTTTAGATTTTTTCAACTCAGAAAAACTTTGATGGGAACACTTTAGAAAAGATTCAAGAGAAACACTCCACTTGGCATATCTCTTATTACGCTTGTTTTGTCCATGCAAACATTTAAAGATTCATGATCAGAATGGATAAGCAAACTTCTTTGGCATCAAATAATGTTGCCAATTCCCTAAAGCCTTAACTACAACATACAACTCTTTGTCATAAGTAGGATAATTTAAAGTAGCACCAGTTAATTTCTCAGAAAAGTATGCAACATGCTTTCCATCTTGCATTAACACAACACAAATTCCAACTCCAGAAGCATCACATTCAATTTCAAAAGTTAAATCAAAGTTCGGTAATCAAAGTACAGGAGCAGAAGTTAAATCATTTTTCAATGTGTAAATTGCATTCTCATGTTTCTCACCCCATTAAAATCTAATATTCTTTTTTACTATGTGATTTAGGGATGCAAGTTTAGTAGAGAAATCATTCGCAAAACGTCTATGGAAACTAGCCAAACCATGGAAGGAACGATTTTCAGACACAGATTTAGGCGTATGCCAATCACGAATGGGCTTAACTTCTTCCTCATCAACCTTAAACCCATCCTTGCTAACATAAAACCAAGAAATACAACTTCTGGCACACAAAAAAGTACATTTAGCAAGTTTAGATAGTAGATCAAGGAACAAAACCAAAAGCTCATAAGAATTCAACCCTGTATCAAAAATTATTTATTATGCAGCGGAATGAACTAGAGATGTAAGATCCAAAAATAGAAGTACAAGAAGAAGAAGAAGGATATTTGGCCTAGTATGTGGACCAATTCACAAGTTCAATGAAGAACCAACCCAACTCAACTCCATGAATTAAACTAACTAATGATGTAAGCAAAACCCTCTCTCAAAAATTGAAAAGAAGAATCAACATATAGGAGATCTATGACCCTAAAGAACAAGAATCAAAAGAAACCAATGCTATAGACGCCACTATTATGTGAACCAAACACAATATATAAGTCTCTATTTGACGCTACACAACCCCATGTCACACCAAAAAAAAAGCTAGTTCTCGCTAGAACGAAACCCTAAGATCTCGAGTTTTTGAGTTAAAAAATGGTTCAAAAAAAGGAGTAGAGATAAATATAAGTCGAATTTTGGGGAAAAGAAAAATACCGATATCGGATTCCCAAAATCCGATTTTTGACCTAAATCGGATTTGGCAAATCCGACCTACGCTAAATACGAAAAATTAATGAAATTAATCAAGATTAAGAGAAAATCGGATTTCTAAAATCCGACCCTAATATATTAAAATAATATATTTTCCGAAAAACACTTAGTTTTTTTTTTGAAATAAAATTTTGACCGAAGTCGGATTTTTAAAATCCGATTTTACTTTAAGGCCGGATTTCATAAATCCGGGTAAGCTTAAATTGGATTTTGAGAATCCGTGTAAGCTAAGGTCGGATTCTTAAAATCCGATTTATTCTTAAAACAAGTTGAAGGTCGGATTTCTTAAATCCGACCTTGGGACAGACTCTTTGAAAAAAATAAAAGATTGGTTTCTAAACCAATCCCAATCTATCAAAACAGCACCAAAACTAAATTTCACAAATAAAATTACCTATAAACACATTCTAAACACATCAAAACAAACATTAACAAATTCAAATCCCAAATCATCCAAATTACAACATTTATACATGAAAGAGTTATAAATTAAAGAGTCCTACAATTGAATTACTTTGACGACCTTTTCTTCCTTGTAGCCCCATCGCCAGGAGTATACTTCTTGGCCGGTTTACTAACTCTATCACTCTTGCGAACCTCGACCGTTTTCTTTTTCTTTTGGGAAGAAACACGAGGTGGAGAGGACTCTTCTTCTTCTTCTTCTTCTTCTTCGCCCCTAATGTAGTAATCCTCATCGCTTTCATTGCCTTCATCATTTTCATCATCTTCTTGCATCGGAGTTGGATTAGGATGAACTATGATTGTTCGATCTGAAATTCCCGGTCGCTTCCTCCTCCAGTAGGCTTCGATGTTGTTTTCTGCGTGAGTACCACATTTTGACTTGACTCAGGGGGTCTTTTCTGAAGAACTTGAGTATCGGACTGAGTGCTCATATCACGTGGGCCCAAAGTCAGGGCACTGAAACTCTTGTCGAAGATTTGGAAGAGTTTATCCTCTAGACTACCACCAAGGCTAGGATTTTCCCGTAAGGCTGCATCAGCGAGATGATATATGTCGCTGAGATTGGAAGACTGCAGAAAATTGAACCATGTGAATAAAGTGTAAGATATAGCAAGAATTAAAATATAAAATAAAATTTATGTCAAAATATAATATTAGATCTTACATAAAATCTCTCCAGAGATGAAGACGAGTGATAACCCTGTGCCGAGGGCCGTATTGAGTGGGATCACCATAAATGATAGTCTTCTTTTGAAACCACGGCATGTAGTCCGATGTGCATTGAGGACCTAGTTCCGGATCACCCAATTCATGAGGGACCACGTGCTGATCTCTCACATTCCAATGAGGTCGTACCTCAGTGTGTTTTTGCACCCAATCATCATATGCCTTTCCACTCCCAAGGCATCCGTGGTGTATCGCATTCCAGCGATCAATGTCATTGATTAACGGGTACTCTGGCACAGTTTGGGCGCATTGAAATTGACGAAGGACCCGATTGGGCTCGTATGGTTCTCTGATGGCCCAACAAAAGATCCACGTCCTACAGAGGTAGAAATTAACTCCCTCTTTACAGAAATCAGGGAGATCGTCGATGAAGGGAGTGTATGGAGTCCATAGAAACTGTCCAAAAATAAAAAATTGGTAAAAAAAAATAATGTAAAATATGAAAAGGAATTTTTTCAACTGCAACTTAAATCAATACTTACATCCCCATCCCTTAGGCTAGATAACTGATCCCTGATGCCAGTGATATGCTTATATTTTACCTATTTATTATATCCCTAATTTGTGATTTTTGCAATATATTTTGAGTACAAATATGCTATTTATGTGATTTTGTCTTTAATTGTAGGAATTGTACTCAAATGAAGAATTGTTGAAGTTTTGAGCTAAAATCGAATTAAAAGCAATTCAATGGGAAGGAATTGAAGATTGGAGCAATTGATGGGGAAGAAATTAATGAGTTTAGAGAATTGGAGGGCTGATGATGCAATTTTGGAATTTGATTTTGTTTTTGGAAAATTGGCCGAGAAGCTTATGGTTATGCGGCTGATTTCGGATTGGAATTGGATAAGAATTTTAATCCCGATATTATTTGGGAAACAAGTTTTCTTGTTCTTCAAGGAGTAGGGTTTAGCCGGAAGCCTATAAAAGGAGGATTAGGGATTTATTTTTACAACAGAACTGAACCGAAAACTGGCCGAAAACCTTACGGCTGCAAACCACCTCCCCCGCACTTCACCTTCTTGTTTCCTTCTTCACCGACCACCAAACTCCCTCCTCCTTCACCGGCGGCCACCACCCTCGCGCAGCACCACCTTGATCTCCATCATCTTCCTCCTTCATCCCACCGCCGAAACCGCAACACCTTGCTTCCTCTCCTCCAACTCCACGAGGCAGCCACGCACCAGCCCTTCTTCCTCCTCCATCACCGCCAAACTCCCTCCTCTCCAAGCCGGCAGCATCATCACCATCGACCGCCAACGCACCTTCTTCCTCTTCTCCGCCTTCCTCTTCACCGCCGCGCGCACCAGCCACATCACCACCGAAGCAGCAGCCGCAGCAGAGTTAGTAACCGGCGGGGAGTTTGGCGGGATTTTTGGCTTCATTCGGTTTTAAAGTTTAATTATTTAATTTATTTATTTTTATTATGTCTCTAAATATTATTGAATTATTTTTAATAATGTTTGGTGGCTAAATTCTTTAAATCTAGGGCTTGGGTGTAGCCACCGAATTTATTTTGTTTATTTAGTTCATTATTATTTGATTTTTCCATTAATTAATATTTGTTATTCTTGTTTTAATTCGTGTAAGTAATTGGCCACTATTTGCATGTCTGAAGATTCTAATTGAAGTAGCGAGAGTGGAAGATTAGTATTAGTTCGTAGGAATAATAAACTTAGGTTGTAAGCTACGAGAGTAAGATTATAACCTTTGCAATATTTGATTCTTAATGGTCTTAATGTGCTTTTGTTAATCCCTATAGTCACGAGAGTAGTCATAGGGTTAATATAAGTAAGAGAATTATAACACGAGAGTGTATAGTTCTTAATTAGGTGAATCGTTGTGAGATTAATGGAAGTTAAAAGTCAGATATTTGTGAATTGAACTAACCCAAATATTCGGTAGGTGAACCCAATGTCCTAGGTTTCCTTTGTCTAATTATTTGAATTAATATTATTTGTTTTTATTTTATTTAGTTTAGTTTTAATTTTTATAACTCTGAGATCATCATTTATCTAGATAATAATAGGAGTAATTTATACCTGGTAATTAGTATTCCTTCTCCGTGGGATCGACCCTGCTTTCTGCTTTACTACTAGTAATTGTATTAAGTAGGTAATTATTATTTGACTAGTGTGACGATGGCTTGTCAACCAGCAACACAATGAGCGGCGATGTTCGCTTTGGATTTTGGGCATTTCCATCTACGATTGAGACATAATAGGAAATAAAAAATAATAAAATAAATCATTGGATTTTAACATAATAGGAAATAAAAAATAATAAAATAAATCATTGGATTTTAACATAATAGGAAATAAAAAATAATAAAATAAATCATTGGATTTTAACATAATAGGAAATAAAAAATAATAAAATAAATCATTGGATTTTAACATAATAGGAAATAAAAAATAATAAAATAAATCATTGGATTGAGACATAATAGGAAATAAAAAATAATAAAATAAATCATTGGATTTTAACATAATAGGAAATAAAAAATAATAAAATAAATCATTGGATTGAGACATAATAGGAAATAAAAAATAATAAAATAAATCATTACCTATTGCCTAATGGTGCGTCCGGCACCAAGTAACTCTCATCTTTAACCTTCCTCTTTGGTTGAAGTCTTGGGATACGCTCCCAAACCCATAACTGAAATTTTAAATCAAATAGAAAAGGCACAAATTAGGAAAACAAATAAAAATATAATAAAAAAATATAAATAAACAAAGAAACACAAAAATTCACCTGCATCAGCATATAACATCCGGTAATGTCTTTTTCCGGCGCGGAAGCTTGACACGAGCAAAGTACAACTTAGCTAAAACAATGACCCCAACCGTAGGTAGCACGACATCCAAATCCTCGAGTATTGTCAGGATCCAAAGTGGTATTCTGTTTCCCGTATTGTCAGGAATCAAGAAACCTCCAATCAGTAGTAACAGTAATGCACGGGCCCTCTGTGTATAGGCTTCTCTTGGGGCATTTTCTGGGATCGGACGCAGACACTCGTTGATTAAACACTCTGCATAAATCTTATTCCCATCAAACATGTCACTAACGGGTGTAATTCCCAACAATCTAAAGCACAATACCATCCACTGTGCCATAGAATTCTCAGGCGTCATCCCCTCCACAGGCTTACCATCCACTTTCAACCCTAATAACACCTCAACGTCTTCTAGAGTGATAGTGGCCTCGCCAAAATGAAAATGAAATGTATGAGTTTCAGGCCTCCACCTCTCAACCATTGCGGTGATCAAACAATTGTCCGCTTGTATATAACCTAGTAGGATCACCCCCCCAAAGCCTGCCCGCCTTATCTCATCTATGACTTGTGGAGGGCAATGCCGGGATGGTTTCTCTATACAAGTCCAAAAATGACTATCAAATCTCCTGCCTTTAAGGGCTTTACTAAAAGCCTCATGGTTCTCGAAAATGGCTTTCGCCCTATGATGGTCATATAGGTATAATAATGAGTCATCTATTGGAGCCGGATTAAAATGTTGCAGTGTGAGTTGTGAGGAACTCGAACCCTCCATATTTTAATCCTATAATACCAAATACTATCAATACCAATACCAATACCAATATCAATACCCATATCAATACACACACACCAATACCAATATCAACACACACACACAGTGCCGGCACACACAGAGTGCCGGCAACACACACACACATTCACACAGTCACACACACACACACAGTGCCGGCACACATAGAGTGCCGGCAACACACACACACACACACAGTGCCGGCACACACAGAGTGCCGGCAACACACACACACATTCACACAGTCACACACACACACACACACAGTGCCGGCACACACAGAGTGCCGGCAACACACACACACACACACAGTGCCGGCACACACAGAGTGCCGGCAACACACACACACACACACATTCACACAGTCAGACACACACATTCACACATTGCCGGCAACACCCACACACACACATCGCCGGCAACACACACACACACACACCTGGCAACACACACACACACACATTACCTAAATCAAAATGAAAAAAATGGACAAATTACCTGAGGGATCGCCGGGGAAGAGAATCGAACAAAAGGGAAATCGCCGGAGAGGGGAATCGCCGGGGGAATCCGACCTTGAGGAAAAATCCGACAGGGGAGGGGAATCCGGGTTTAGGGTTGGAGAAGAAGGGAGAGTCGATTTTGACTCCCCCAAATTTTGGTCAACCGGTTAAATACTCGTAAAAAATCGGATTCTACAAATCCGATTTATTCATTGAGAAACAAGGTCGGATTCCTAAAATCCGACCTTGGACAGAGAGTTACGAAGTTGGTTGCAAATTTCACCAAAATCCGACCTTCTGAGTGAACAGTGCATAAATCGGATTCAGGAAATCCGACCTTGGACAGAGAGTTACGAAGTTGGTTGCAAAATTTCACCAAAATCCGACCTTCTGAGTGAACAGTGCATAAATCGGATTCAGGAAATCCGGCTTTATGCCTAGATCGGATTTACTAAATCCGATTTTCCTTTGAACTCGGATTCCGAAAATCCAGCTTTATGCCTAGATGGGATTTTGTATTTCGGATACACAAGTACTAATATCAAACACACTAACAATATATTAACTAAACTAATTCATTAAGCCTCATGATTCAAAAGAAATACAACATAAACTCCAAATCGAACAAACTAAAGTATAAATATCAAAAGTTTCGAGACATGAAACATTGTTCAACAAAACAATCCTAGTCGTTGTGAATACCATCGGCGTCCCAATTGATCTTGAGCCTTGTCCTATCGGATTTCTTGTGTGATTTTGGGCACGCATTGGTGAAATGATTCCTTGAGCCACATCTCAAACATTCACCCCTCGATTTGCGTCCCCTATAATCCATTTGCATTTTAAATCTCTTCTTTTGCCAACGACCGGGTCCAGCATGCATAATAACTCGCTCGTAGTTAGGAACGAGTCTCCATCCAACCTGAGGCCATCTTCTCATATCAGGGACCGGGGAAAAGTCATCGCGCCCACTGAATTGGTCTTGCCAAGCAACAACCCTAAAATATGGATTCACCGTATTGATTGGTTGATCTTTTATCTTCCGACACACAACTAGTGCATGTGTACAAGGGAACCTATACTCTTGCCACTTCTTGCAAGAACACTTCTTCTCTTCATATTTCACAGTGTACGTGTTATCCCCTTTACCACCAAGTCGGGCTCTACTTTTCACCTTGAACTTGCCATTAATAGCACCATAACGGTTGACTTTGTGTTGCGCGGGTTTCTTTTCTTTTTTCTTGAAGTCTTCCCACAAGTCAGTTGGGACCGGAGTAATACATTTCCTCGACTTCACGTATTCTTCCTGGAACAAATCCACAGTCTTAATAAAAGTAGCTTCCACCAAAGCCCGGATTGGCAAGAAACGAACGCCCTTGAGGACGTTGTTGTAGCTCTCAGAAATGTTCGTTGTCTGGTTACCCCAACGATAGTGTTTGTCTTTGGCAAGAGTCCACTGACAAGTATCAATCTCCTCGAGATACAAATAAGCATCATTGCTAAAATCACGTAGCTCATTCCTTAGTTCTTTGAATTTAGACTTAGAAAGTTTCGTGCCCATCTCCCAACACAACCTTTTGATCTTTTTACTTCGAAACTGCGCCACCAAGTTACTATGGACGTGACGAAGGTAAAACTGGTGGTATGCATTCCATTCGGGCATTAGGCGTATTGCACTGATGATACCCTTGTGCCGATCGGATATAACACACACAGGCCGGTCGGATATAACATGATTCCTCAAATGCTTCAAGAAGAATGACCAACTTTCCTCACTCTCTTCATCCACGATCGCATATGCAATTGGCAGGATGCGCTTATTCGCAGTTTTGACCATTGCAGCAAGTAATTTACCTTTGTATCCGCCGCGCAAGTGCGTCCCGTCGATACTAATCACCGGAGGACATTTAGCAAAACAATCAATTGCAGGCTTGAATGCCCAAAAAATGTATTTGAACGTCCTCTCTATATCGGTCCAACCCGGTTGCCATTCCCACTCTACAACTGTGCCGGGGTTGCTCTTCTCTAGGGCGGCGAAAAATCTAAATTAAAATAAAAAAATTAATCCTTATTTTATTCCTAAATTACAAACAAATCAACAAAAATTAGATAGGACTTAAGTAAATACCTTGGAAGTATGTCAAAATTGGAAACCCAGTCGCCGTAAATAAGATCGATAGCTTTTCTCCTTCCCTCCCATGCCCTGTGGTAAGGAACATCGACATGCATACGGTCTTTCACTTCTTCCTGAACTAGCTTCACTTCATAATCTGGGTCCAACTCAACCTTATGCCTTATGAGATGCGCAATAAGCGTTGCGCACACATTCCGATTATTGTTATCCTCGGTGACATTCATACAATTGTGCTCGGGCACCCATTTCACAATCTCCCACAAACCGTGGTCTCTCAAGGAGGCACGTACCTTCCAACGGCAAGGAACATAACCCTTAGGGGTTGACTCTTTTAGGGATTTGCACCAAATAGACCATGTTGAACCATCACTTTCCTTCACATAAAACTCTCTCTTTTGCTCTATGTTCCACGCTGCAATACCATTTTTTGCTTCTTCCTTATTCTTGAAACAAGTCCCTATCCCAATTGTTGCGGTTGTCCCATCCCACATGGTAAGTTGAAAATCATCCTTGTCCACTTTTGTATGATCCCACGTACCCTGTGAACGATATATGTGCCTATCCTTTGTGGCGAATTTGTCTTCGACCTCTTCATCACTCTCCCGACTTCCTTCGGATATTGATTGGTTTTCATCGCTTTGATCACTATCGATGTGTAGTCCTCATCATCTTCACCGTGATCATATTCCATGTGATCGCCATCCTACATAAACGGTCCACCCACATTATCATCTTCCATGTAATCGACATTCTCCACATTCGGCCTACCACTACTTGTCCCTACTTCCAAATGGGACCTATAAGTACCCGCCACCTCCAAATCTACATACAAATCAATATATGTCGAACTTGGGAGGAAATACAACACTTGCAACGATGCGTCGTCCTTGATTTTGGCAATACGCCTAAAACCATTGCGCATCGTATCATACAAAATCGATAGACTCAAATTCACATTCTTTCTATTCCACCCCACTCTTTCACAAATCAGTCCAACCAAATCATTGTACAATAACTTATGATCAATCACAAAGGAATCGTCCGGCATGTTGTTAAAACTATTCACAATCCCATTCTTCACTACAAATTTGCTCGACCAATCACAAAGGACCGTTAAACGCCATTTATATCTGTTGATTACATGAATTACAACACATCATGAACAAATTATTAAAAAAAATGACACAAACAAGGCATTATCAAACAACTTATTATAACAATTACCACAAACAAGGCATAATCAACACTAAATTTACTAAACCCCCTACAAATTCAAAAGTTTACACCAAATTCAAGCATTTTACTAAATTGAATGTTCAATACCACGTATACAACAACAATCATCAACTACACCCAACATCAATCCTAAAACCTTATAAATCATCCTATTCTAAACTTTTACACAGAAAATAACAAAAATAATTCTAAATACATCAAAACATTAACTAACCTTCTTATGAAATGGTTTTAAGACATCCGTTGCAAAGAATCGTGAACAAAATCTTCAAATCGCCACTAAAATCACCTCCTCCTTTATGAAATAGCCTACTTTACCAAAAATCCCGATATGTGAACAGTGTTTTCCGTCGCCCCATTATAACACAATAAAGTCGGATTTCTAAAATCCGATTTTACTTATAAAATCGGATTTAGAAAATCCGATTTACATGTAAGGCCGGATTTCAAGAATCCGATCTTCTGCCAGCTAATAACGTTCATTCAATGCCGATACCTACTGTTAGGTATGCTTAAATAAGATCGGATTTTGTAAATCCGATGTTGTACTATTCTTAATTTTCAAATCTCCCGCCTGTATTTTTTTATGAAAATAAACAAGGTCGGATTCCTAAAATCCGACCTTTGACTGTTCTTTATTTGACTTTCAATACATTTTTCTCATATATATTTTCCGGAAATAAAAATTGTTATTTTATTAAATCGGATTCTTAAAATCCGAACTACTAATTTAATTAGTAGGTCGGATTTTGAGAATCCGATCTCGACATTTTTCTTTACCAAAAAAAAAAAAATTATAGATCTCTCTACTCCTTTTTCTACCCCATTTTTTAGCCAAAGCACCCCTAAGATCTCACAAAATATAATTATGAAAATCTCTCTCTCTCTCTCTCATATGTTACAATGAAAACTCGCCCCTCTATATAGGACTAGGTTCGGACGAATTCTTGACTTAAAGAGGAAGAAAAGGACCTTTCAATTATTCTAATTCCTAATTTAAAGAGTTAAAATAGGAATTGACTACTAGGACTTTTAAGTTTCAAGAAAGAAATCAAATCTTTCCTTTTTGGACTTAAAAACAATAAGCCAATAAGTAAACAAGATAAAACCCCTAATACAAAGAGATATTCACCTAAAATAGGCTCTTCACACGTTCACTCTCAAGGCTCCTCACATTCACACTCAAGTCTTAGGCACGAAGAAATTTTTTTTTTGAGTACAACTTGAACAATATCTTCTTTGTAGAGTATCACGCGTCGATCCAACTTGATGTATTGCTATCCAATGGTAATAGACATCAATTTGAATTGAAAAGCAATAAAGAAACTCAAAAGAAAATGCAAGACCCTATCCTCCCCCACTTTTAGGGTTTGGACAATTTTAACAATCCTTAAATTTTAGAAGATGTTAAAGGTAGCCTCATAACTCCTCTTGCAGGAATTAAAAGCTTCTAGAACTTGGAGTTCTTGTGTAGGGCTTGATCCATCTTTTGGTAGTACTTGTAGTAGCTTAATTAGTTTGGGCTTAAACTCTTCAAGATCGATGTTCTATTTGGATCAAACTTTATTAAGTAAACTCGACAATACTCTATCTTTTTGGACCTAGACCTTGTGATTCGTTCTTCATTATTCATAAATATCTCCCCTTTTAGATGATATTGGAGTTGACAACTTATGTTATTTAAATCAGCAACTTCTGAACTTTGTATCACTCCTCGGTCACACAACACACTCAAAACGCGTTCCTTGGTCTCATCATCTTTTATGGTTGGGCTAAGAGCCTTCTCAATGTGTATGATAGCTAGATGATTCCTATCATTCCCATTATTTTGAAAAGGATTTGTCCTCAAATCCGACTCTGCATTACACGGAAATAAATTAGTAATATCAAATATTGCATTATTACCATACTCACCATTCGGATTGAATTTGGAGGAATTCAATTTTGTTCCAGCCACCACAAACAGCTCTACTTCTCCTTTAGGATGCAACTCGATTCACCTAGAGGTCGAATCTCTCACGTTTTGCACAAGAACCCACTTGATAGGTTCATTCACCACGGGATAGAATTTAAAGCATTTTCCACACGAAACAAAGCATACTCATATCTAGTTAGAGAAAACTTTTGCAGAGACTCTTTACACTACTAGAATAATGCCGACTAGAGACACTTTAAAATATCTTAAAACATTAACTATAGAGACATTTGTACCTATTGTGACATTTTGTATAAGTGCCTTTAAATTCAATATAACAATAGGCTTAGTGTAGTTTTACATAGTCTTTAAAGACACTCAACAAGTGTTATAACAAATAATCTTTGAAGACATTTTCAGACTTGCCAAGAGATAAAGATAGAGTCACTTCAAAATAAGTAGTTTTCACGTCATGTAATTTTTGCACCTCCAATGTTTTTTTCCGATTCTCCTCGTAATTGCTTTTTAGAATATTATAATTTTTTTCAAATAAAAATAAATTTTTCATTTCCTCCATAAAAGTAAAAGAAACAGAGTACAATCCAAACAAAGTTACATGGGAATAACAAGAACACTTTATAGAGCAGCATCTCATCCTGCACTAGTTCTAGTACTACTATCCATTATACATATCTAGACTATCTTTTACAAACTAAAAGAAAGAACGCATGATCTTCAAACACTAGTCGAATCCCCCGAGAGAGCAATGTTTTCTCAATTGTATCATTCACTTCACTTAACTTCCAGATTAACTCCTTCCGGACTGAAGATTTTCTCCTGTTTCATTCTAATTGAAAAGAATGAAAGAAAAAGTTACATCATGGTACTTCCTTCCCTTCTCTCTTTTGAGCAAAGGCTGCAAAAGTTTTCAAACCACATTAAAATCTAAAAGAAAAAGATGTAAATGGATATCAAACTTAATAATATTGGAGATCAGAAAATGAAGACCAAACTCATATTCTAAATCAAAATCTAACCAACATACCTTCAGAAACAATCAACGATGTTAATGTGTGAAGGGGAAGAGATGATCGAGGACCCAATCAAATGTCAAAGTTTTTTTATTAGAAGGAAATCCAACCAATACAAAATCAATTTCAAATGCATTGAACATCTAAGCAGTAAAATGATTTCAATTAAAGTAAAACAAATTATCTAATAAGCCAAAAGAATTTTTAATTTCATTTTAACACAAGAATTCAGAACTTTTGATAAAGAAAAGTTTAAAAGGCGTACTTGACTACTTTTAAGAGCTAATGCATAATCAACAAAAAGTATCATTAACATTACCTCCAAGCATCAACAACAATAGAACATCCAATGCATTTTCTTAAACATACCTATTCGAATCAGCCACCACCAATTTCCAATATGCCGCCTAATTGTTCAGGGATAAAATAAAAAGTTAATGAATAAAAAAACCCCAGATCTACCAAGAAGGTCAAAGAAATTTAAGATCCTACATCACCAAATGAATATGAAAATGAATTTTTAAACCCTAGATTTACCAATTCACAGAGAGAAAGTATTTATATCAAAAATTGAGTGGCAAACAACACCAAAGTGGACGTCGGCATCAATCTTTACCTTCTAATTATTGCGCACAGCTTAGCCTCCATGGCAGTTTCTCCTTCGAGATTTTTATCCGTCGTAACATGCCCAATCTCCGCCGAAGATCCCTCTGCCTCTATGGATGAGGTACCCTAGCCTACGTGAGGGATTAAAAAATTATGGCTAAACCAAACCAAAGAGCCATCGTTTTTGGTCACCCAAATTGAACCCATGTACTAGAAAAAATTGTGTTCCATTTACGAGAAGAGAAAGGGTGAAACAAAATTCAAGATTAAATAAATAAATATTGTTTTATGGTACTAAAAAAATTAGTTTGATAAGTCTCCGAAATAACAGAGAGGTTTTCTATATTTTTTATTTTTTTTGGCCAAAAAGATCGGCCTGACATTAACGGGGTAATTGCCCCAAAACAGCTTTTGTTTTTGGGATGTTTATTTGAAGAAAATGCCATAAAATTGAGTGTCATTAGTAGTATAATTTATAATGACAATTCCAAATAAGTGTCCTTAATCGATTGGAATCATATGTAGTAATAGACCCTTTTTCTAGTAGTGTTAGACACATTCTCATTCAAGCATGCCGCAAATCATTCACTTAAAAATATGTAACCACTCAGAATTGAACACAAGTCATGTATTAACTTCATGGTCTCTATAGAACTCAAATCTTTGTAAAGAATTAAAACACAACTTTGATTTCTCAACATTGCAAATGATTTATTTGGAAACAAGTTAAAACCGAATCTCAAAACATGCTCTTTGAAGCTCATGAAAGTGTTTGAAGTTAATTCACATAAATTAACACACTTTTCAACTCCAATTATTGTTTTGAAAACAACTTGTTCAAGCTCTTTAAATCTAAACGACTCTGAGAATCACATAAAGCATAAGTTGTGCAATCATTAGGAGATAACTAGATCTAATGATTAGAAACATAAGTTTCATGACTCTCAGAAAGACTCAACTTTAGACACAAGTTAGAAGACTCATAGAAATTCAAAAATTTTAGCAACCTACATAGAATTATAGACTCACAAACATTTAAACACTTATTAAAACTCAAAGACATATTTTCATCACGAAAATATAAAGACATAAAAATCAGAAATATTACAAACAATGTTACCGTCGATGGAGGAATCCAAAAGTATTTGCACTTATAAACTCTTATCCTCTTGAGATTTGTTTTCGTTTACCACCACCTTTTCGAGCATGAAGTTGTGTTGATCTTGACTTCCTTAAATGGATAGACGCTCACTAGAACTC